GTTATTGCCTTGTTGTGCCTGGGAATGATCAGGCAGGACTTGGGCATCTCTTCTCTGGCACCAGCCCAGAGAGCCACCCCCCTCCCCTCAGCTCACTGCCCTTTGCTTTGGAACACTGTCAGAGTTTAGTCAGGCATTTGTCTCTGTGGTGGTAACATAAACGCAAAGATTTTGATTTAAATAAACATGACCCAACTGTGTCCCCAGAGGTAAACATATGAAAATCAAATATAGCTTTTACTGATAACAATTGTAACGCTGAGTTATTCTTAATTACAAAAACATTGGATATGCTGTCCAAGTTATTTATGTATATATTTTGGTTCTCTTGGACGATTATCCAATCAAAATACTACAGAAGCCGGGAGGGTTCATAACAAACGCAAACGCCGCAACAAATACAAACGCTACAACACAAATGCAAACACCACAACACAACAGAAAGCCACAGCAAACCAAAAAAGCCACAACGGACGTGATCGCAGGACTCTATTTTAATGCAAACGCCGCAACAAATACAAACGTCACAACACAAATGCAAACGCAACAACACAACAAAAAGCCACAACAAACCAAAAAGCCACAACGGAAGTGACCACGGGACGGACCAAGCGATGGTCAGACAATGACATCAATCCTGGCCACAAAACAATAACTACTTACTTTTACTTATGTTTCCAACTTCGTTCACTTCTCCATTCCTTTACATTTCACATTCTTGTTCTTCTTCAACTTTTCCCATTCACTTCCCACTTGATCCTTTAACACTTCGCTTGGTCCGTAGGAAAAGAGAATCGCGGTCACTTTTTGGTTTGTTGTGGCTTTTTGTTGTGTTGTTGCGTTTGCATTTGTGTTGTGACGTTTGTATTTGTTGAGAAGTTTGCATTTGTTAAGAGCCCTCTCGACTTCCATAAAATGGGCCTGACATGGTCTCTCATTTTGATCTGAATCGTCATTATCTAAACCCAAGTACTATGTGACATCACTCAGGACTGTTCTGACTACAGCCTGGTGTTTCTGATTTCAAACACCAGGCTGCAGGGGTGGAGTTTGAAGTGAGGATACCTGTTAGACCAATCAAACTGTTCCTTTTCTTGTTTCCATGCAACATAATTGCTTTGTCTGGAATGTTCCACAGTAGCATTAAGTGTATCTATCTTTGTGGTGTTTTTTCAGGATAATGGCAGATAATTTTAGTCAGGCTAGCGCCACCTAGTGCCTCCACTCAATGTCATTTCTTTCCAGCGACTAGGTCAGGAATCGGAATACACTAAATGGTTTGCAAGAACTCCGGAAGTTGTAGACTGCGCAAAGGCCAATCAGCAAAGAGCTGTTAAGCCATGACGTCAAACTCAAGCACCTGTCTAGGTCCCTTTTGAGGTACAGCACAACAGTAAACAAAGCAATCGAGATGGATGTAGACGAAGCCAGACATTCTGTGTTGGCAACGATTCTCAAGATTGGGGATTTAAAGACGGAACAAAGAGAATATTTGGTGAATTTTATCAAGGAGAAAGACGTTATTGCCCTTCTTCGTACAGGATTTGGCACATTCCTTACCTCACAACCAAATAGCAATGTCTGGTTAAATTAAAAAAAGTACCTGCCTACCGTCGAGTGAACGAATCCTAAAGCTGCAAGGTCAGATGGTTTCCACAAAGTGAAACCCACTGATGAATCAGGCTAGATCATTTTATTTGTCAAGTGAAATTTAGTCAAATTATAATAAAACTTTCTTAATTCAAGTCATCTTAACTTGACTAGATTTGTTTTTTTTTGCAGTGTAAAGCTCAATTTTGCGGAATACAAGACCTTTAATTAATATCATTTAAATATGATTAACATGTCATTCTTGTGAGTGCAGAAAATTATGTTCTGGAACTAGAAAGAAGTGGAGAGGGGGAGGGCTGTTAAACTCGGAGAAAAGAAAAAAGTGTTAAAATCCAACAAATAAAATTCAGAAAATAGCTGCGTTGCATTGTCAACACAACAGAACATGGCTAACTCTGTGCCTAGTAGCTTTAACCATCTGCAGAGGATAACCTAGAATGTGCGTATTAAAAACTGCTCGCGTTTTTGGTGCTTTTGTCATCTCATTTGAAACACCACGAGCCGATGGAGCCATGACAGCTGCAGAGGGTCCATAGGTGTGAAAGCAAAGCCCACGCGCGCCCATCCCGAACAGCTAACCGCCGATTTCACTGTGAATCTCATTACACTGCCAATATATCCACAAGCAGTCAATGAAAGAGATGGAAGTTTTTTTTTACCCCAACAAAACGAGCGATGTGTAGTAGCAGTAGACCCCTTAAAGGTGCTGTACCTGATTTTTACTGCCTTAATAAAGCGAAAAACAGAACTGGTTCATTTTAAAGTTGGCGATGGTCCAAAGTTTTTCCTTCATGTGATGAGTGTATATATAGGCGCTTTTCGCAAGTTTCAGAGGCCAATGCGACGTCATCACGGTAAAGCTGACAACTAGCATGCTAATCATGCACTTCCTGATACTCAGCCAAGAATCCGCTTTATAATGAGATGCAGACAGTACACAGTGGCTTCTTATACAATATGTCTGTAATGGGACATGACCATTTTTGCTCAAATTTTAAAAAATAAATTAAATAAAATTGGGAAAAAATGTATACATTAAAAGGTATAGGGCCTTAAAATGTGTATCAAGTACATTCTTAATTGCAATACAGGCTGGGGGTCAAAAGTGAAGAGAAACATTATGTGATTTTAATGGTAAAATTGCGATTAAAAAAAGAATCAAGGGGAGTTTGGCAAATGAAAATAGATTTTTTTTTATGTATTTGAGCACACGTGTTCTTGTCCTTGCTGTGAAACTCATCGAGGTGAATAATTACGATGCTCTGAATGTTTAAAGTAAATGAGGAATAACTTTGGACCACTGCAAACTGTTTAAAATTAGCTAGTAATGGTTTTTCATTTTCCATTACAGCACCTTTAATAAGAAATTATGATTGACATTTTGCATTTCATTATGGAATTTATCAAAGCCCTGAGGATATAGCATTTTAAAGCATCTACAGTCGTAAAAGCAGTGTTCCCATGACAACCGTTTTGTTTATTATTTTGCGGTTGATCAGAATGTAATATCTGGTGCAGCATTGTAAATGATACAGTAGAGTGAGATGAGATTTGGTCTGGGTTGTGTGTGCTGACAAAAGGAGGAGGGGCCCTACAAAAGAACAGCACAGCGCTGTCTTTGTCGTGTTATTAGACAGTCACATACTGCCCCCTAGTGCCAAGAGTGAAAACTTCCATGTGACTTGAAGCTATTTCAATACAGACTGTGTTTCTTTGAGTAGTCTGAAAAGTTTAGGTGGATTTTTTATAGGACTTAAGCAAAACTGTGAAACTGTGGAGAAAGTAACTAAGTAAAAACTTTCCTGATCAAGGCAAGTTTGGAAAAATATTGCACAGTATTGCTTTACACTGATCTATCATGAGAGACAAGAAGGTGTTGCCTCCAGGTCAAGGTATAGGTCAGGTCCCACCACTTTTATTTTATTTTACAATACTAGCACCTATAATAGAATAAATGCAAGATCGATATGCTTGACACCATACTGTGGAACATTTCAGGCAAATCAGTAATCAAATCAATAATCAATCTCCATGGAAACAAGTATGGCAGAACCCTCATCAGTAAAGTTACATAGTGCACCTTCAGAAATACACACAATAACTATAAAAAATAAATTACATACCAATATTATTATTATTCCACTGGCTACAAACTTTGCTTTTAAATGTTAGTAAATATGAAGTAAAGTACAAATACATACAATAAATAATATGAAATATCATGATGCCGTGTCATCAAAGTTCTCACAATATATCGAATTACAAGTCTCTTTGCTTAAATTAAGAGTTATGGTGCAGCAATGCTAAAAAAAAAAGGAAACTACATAGACCATGATCCTTTGCTCCATTTCAGTGCAGACTACAAGAAGAAATAACAGTTCTAAGCACTTTTAAGTCTAAGTTCTTTGGATTAAGTCTTGTCAAGACATTTTAAAAGGAAAAAGTAGAATATTCACAGTTTTAGCTGTTTAGCCTTCACAAAATATCGCAATAAATATCGTACCGTGAGAGGTATATCATGAAAACATCGTACTGAGAGATTTGGATATTATTACATTCCTAATCGTGAGCCTCTCCACCATATTGTGAACTTTCCCACAATATCACAATAAATATCGTACCATAAGGTTCGTACCATGAGGTTCATACCGTGGCGATATCGTATCGTGAGACTTGGATATGGATACACCCCTAATTCTTACTAACTACTGCTAACATAAGTTCAGTAAATTGATGTATTTTGTTTTCAAGTTGTTCTAACTCTTGAAATCCAAGTTTTTCTAATACATGAACTAATAACTCACAAAGGTTTGCAGTGTTTCGCCTCTTACATGAAAAAATATACAGATTTACTATAGTTATTATATTCTTTAAAGCCACAGTATGCAACTTTTTTTGCCAAAATGTAGACTCAAATATTTGTTTTGTTTGTTTGACAGGCTTGCATCTCCACAAACCTGACCAGAGGAGGGCTCTTCCAACTTGTCTCCACATAACTGGTTGTACCTTTGGCTATAATCTATGACAATATGGTATAAAACATATCTATCTCCATAGAGAATGTTCCAAAGTATGGTTTTAATTTTCTATTTGCATGGAATGACGCAGGTGACATGCCACTTCCAGAAAGTGACACACTGTAGCTTTAACATAATGTAAGATTTTGTTTAATTATTCATTTCAGTGTGTTATTTTATCTTATTTTGTTGTTAGCACTATATCTGGCATACGTGGCAATTACAAAATTATTATCATTGTGTCAATAAGTTTTCACTCTAACTTTGGACACAATTGAAAACCCAATATTAAAATTTAAAAAGCGAAAGTTGCCAGACAGATGCACAAAAAGCGCCAGTTTAAGACAACTATTATTAACAGAAAATGATTACCTTGTTCTTCTTTTGTGGCCAGCGCTGTTAAAAAGCAAAAACGACAAAAATAAATAAATACCAAATCCAGTGTGAAAGTATAAAATGAAAATTACACCTATTTCTTAAAGGGCCACTTACCGGACTCCTTTTGATGGTGGCGTCTCGAAACATTAAACACACATCTACAATGATCACGCCCATATCGTCTTCTTTACTTTTGGGATCATCCAAAGGGAGCTCCATCTCATAGTTTCTGACAAGAGACAAACCCAAATATGCAAATGAAACATGCTGGATTTGTAATAATAGGAAATAACAGTAGATCGAGCGCCACCAACCTGTATAATTCCAGGTTTTTCAAGTCAATAGAGCTGGAGCCCATGAAGTCATCAGAAGTGCGGTTTTTGTCATACACCTGGACAAAGAATTCAGAAGTGAAATGATTGAAGTGTGGAGCTGATGGCGCTTGGTAGGAACACATTTTGAGTTGATTTGGCAAAATACTGACAAGTCTGTGCTGTCAGAGAAGCTCAGAAACTCAAGTAGGGCTACATAGAACACATTATTTGCCACAGAAATTGCAGTATAAGAGCATAAGAGCTTTTTAGAATTTGGGATATGGTAAAAAAAAAAAAAAAAAAAAAAGGATACGGTAAAAATGGTAAAAAAAAAAAATAAATAAATAAATAAAAATACTTACTCATGTAGATTAATTTTTTTGCTTAATTGTCATAATGTGCATATTTGCTAACTAGTTGAGGGGGTACCTACCCAGAACTTTACCAGGTGCTCCTTGTCATTCAAGGTACCCACCTGGACCTCCACCAGGCACTCTCAGTCTAACAGTATTTACCCAAATCTCCATTAAGTGCTCCCTGTTCTTCAGAATACCTGCCCACTTCTCAACTAGGAACTCCCTGTCTCAGAGTACTAACCCAGACCACCACAAGGCACTTCCTTTCTCAGAGTACCTAGCTGGACCTCCACCAGACACTCCCTATCTCAGATTACCTATCCAGACCTCCACTAGGTGCTCCCTGTCTCAGAGTAGACCTCCCTGTCCTTCAGAGTACCTACCTGTGCCACCACAAGGCACTTCCTGTCTCAGAGTACCTAGCTGTACCTCCACCAAACATTCCATATCTCAGACTACCTACCTGGACGTCCCTGTCCTTCAGAGTACTTTTGAGACCACCACAAGGCACTTCCTGTCTCAGAGTACCTAGCTGGACTTTCACCAGACACTAGGTGCTCCCTGTCTCAGAGTAGACCTCCCTGTCCTTCAGAGTACTTACCTGGACCTCCACTAGGTGCTCCCTGTCTCAGACTACCTACCCAGTTCTCAACTAGGCACTCCCTGCCTCAGAGTAGACTTCACTGTCCTTCAGAAAACCTACTTACAGACCACCACAAGGCACTTCCTTTCTCAGAGTACCTAGCTGGACCTCCACCAGACACTCCCTATTTCAGACTACCTACCCAGTCCTCAACTAGGCACTCCCTGTCTCAGAGTAGACATCCCTGTCCTTCAGAGTACCTACCAGTATCACCACAAGGCACTTCCTGTCTCAGAGTACATAGCTGGACCTCCACCAGACACTTCTTTTCTCAGACTACCTACCCGGACTTCTACTAGGTGCTCCCTCTCTCTTAGAGGATGGGAGAAGGATTCGTTCCAGCGTGGGTTCAGGTTCTTGTAGACCACTTTACTTTTGTAGAACTGCTTTCCCTCCAGTTTAAACTTCACATAAGGATCGCTTGTACCTACAACACAAGACAACGTCAAATATTATCAACATACATTAGTTATATAATGACTGGACTTAGGGAAAACTAATCAGGAATTGAATAGTTCTGAGGAGTGTAGTTGTAGGCCTGGATTTTCAAACCTACTCAAAGATAAGTATGACTCGTTTAAACTTTTAGATGTATTTTGAATTCATTTGCTAAGCTCTCTGCTTATAAGACAACTGCTCTGCTTCCAAATCCACAAATCCTCTTTTTGCAGTGTATAGGCAAAACGTTGTGTGACTAAGTGCTAACTGTGTGACATTACAGCCTTAAACGTGTCGCAAATTAACTCTCAAATCATTACAAAAACATGTCGACGGCGCGCGGAATCCTGCGCCAAATCCACTGTACACGATCACACATGCCCCCCCACCCCCCACCTCACCACCTCCTCCACCCCGGCACTGTGGCGAGAGACTGACGGAGAACACAGGGAGGAGGAGGAGGAGCACCCACACACCGCGTCGTAACACCGCCATGTAGCCGCTTCTTTGTCAGCGAAATGGAAACACTCGCCGGGAGCCCAAATCCTGAAGCAACCGGTGTTAATCTCCTCCCCGCGCCTGTTAAAAAGTCTGCTGGTGGGACGGTATGTTTCTGGGATGTCTTTGTTTCAGGGATCGAATGCAGATTGGCCCGGAGAAGATAAAGAAGAGGGGGGATAAAGGGGAGCCTTGGGGAACGCCCGCGGGGATGCCTGAATCACATGACAAAAGCCCCGTGGGGATGGTGCTGTCAGGCCTGTCAGCTCCCCTCTCCAAATGAACATCTCGCACCGGCCGCCTGACCCACGGCGAGCCCCACCCTGCCAGCCCCTGCCAGCCCCTGCCAGCGCCTGACAGCCAAAGCTCCAGGCAACTTGACAGGAGGAGAAAAAGCTCCGGCGTGACTGGGGACGGTGACGGTGGGAATTAATGGGGGGAAAATAGGGGGAGAACAAAAGGGATGTGGGAGGTAGGGGTGGGGCCGGTGGCGGGGGCGGTTGTGTGAGGCGGGAGGGGAGTCTTTCAGAATGTGTGATGCCACCGGTGGGTCCCTGGCATCGGGTTGATTGTTGGGCAAACAGAGGAGGGAGCAGAGGGGAGAGAGGCTGCGTCATCTCAGTGCCATGTGAGCCAGGGGAGGGTCTGTGTGTCAGGGGTGGTCTACAGGCCTCCACAAGAGAAAGTACTACACAATATATACTGTAGGTCTTCTATGGAGATGCAACATGATGCTCTTGAAAATGAATTTAATTGATCTCAAGAGGCTAACCTGTATAAATAAGGGATTCAAGATGTTTTATTTATTTTCCAGCATTGCATAAAAAAATATTTATTATTATTTTTATTTTTTTTATTTTTTGATTGATACATATTTAGTATTTTCTATTTTCTTGATGGTTTTGTATTTAGCATTGCAACACAAATTTCCCCACTGTGCAACAAATAAAGGTTTTCTTATCTTATCATATCACTTTTAAAGAAGTTACAATTGCACTAGAAATTTATATCATATGACATGAAATTAAATAAAATAATAAATAATTTTGCCTGTATTGATGATGATGATGATTATTATTATTATTTATTTTTATGGCCTGACCCACATGTTGAAATATTGCATATTTTTTCCCTTTTTAAATGTTAATTTTTTTGTGTGTATTTTAGCAAAACTATAGTGAAGGGGTACGTGTGGGAGATTCAAATATATTATTCTTTTTCTTTTTCTTAGATATGCTAAATATTTTTGCACTTGTCATTTTAAACTGTCCATTGAAAATTTGCATTTACTGCTATAAAAATATCTGAAAATCATCAAGATGAAGTTTTTTCTTCTTTCTTTTTTTTTTTTTTTTCAGCCCATGCCCCCATCCCAATAGAAATGTAGTGGACAGGGGTATTGCATATCCAGGTGTAACATGTGAAGGATGGTGTGTTTCTTTGTCCTTGAGTTAATTGCACCAGACCAGTTTAATCAGCACAGCATTAATTATCATCACAGTTACCCACAATGCCCTTATACATTAATTAATCTATTTATTTCATCACACTTAATTATCAAATGCTTTTATGATATGCTCATTATTTAAGTAAGCATAGCTATATGTCAGAGCATTGATGGACATGGTGGCATATGACCTTTATATTCTCTTCAGAAATGGCTGCCTTTTGAAATCAGAAGACTATTACAGATAATGTAAGATCATTTTGCTAACCTTAATGTTTGTATGGAAAATAAAGAGTCTATAAAGCTGATTAAATGAGGGAAGCAGTTTAAATGAGGCTCAGAACAAGTCAAAGTGTGAGTGTCAAAGTAAGTTAGCTTTGTTGTGAAGGCCATTTGTTAAGTGCATTTACAATTGAATAGAGAGAATAGAACTTGCTGTAATTCTCCTCCATACACGAGTATACACTACAAGTACAGGTACCACAGTTTGAGAAACACTGCTAAATGGTGAGTAATAAAGTAATGTAAAGTAAAGGTGCACTGTACAACTTTTCTGGTGGAGGATCCACTATCTACCCGTCTCCATGGAGATGTTATTGCTTTGCCCGGAACGTTCCGTGGTATGATATTAAACACTGACATAGAGCATTTATTGATTCACATGAGTTTCTCGTGCTCAAAAACTCAGAAATTCCTTCTGATTAGGGGCGACTCTCCACAGATCTGAATTGTAATGTAGTGTAGTGCTGTAACTTGCATGTCTTCCTGGTGATAAATAGGGTTAATCTATACGGTGGAACATTCAAAGCAATATTACTTTCCTCCACTAGAAATGTCACGCAGTGCACCTTTAAATATACATGTTGACCCTAATGAAATAACGTGGTCCATTTGAACATTTCACTATTTTATGTTACATCAAAATGTTGTATCCCTATTTTTAAGATCACCTTAAAATCTGAAAATTTACATTGGATCAACTTGGAATTTTCATAGTACAGTTTTTGCGTTAAAGCTATAATTGATTATGTAAGTGAAAATAGTGGAATGAAGAAAATAATTTGAAAAATGTTTATGATACGAAATATTGCACCAAATTACAAGCAAACAGTTATAGACCGATATCCTATACACTATATATAGAGTGATATCATGAACCTCCTGCACTGGAAAAAAAAATTAAGTGCATAGTAAATGACAGACAGATGACATTTTAGTTGGAAAATTCACCAATATCTGAATAACTATTTGGATTTATGCCTAAACATTACAAATAACATTGTAATAGAACTGCTGTGTCCTCTAATGTTGTCAGAAACTATCAGTGACAAATTAAAAAAAACAAACTGATAATAATATTCACTAGATTAAGGAAAGAATGAAGCATAACTAAAAGGCAAGCATATGCCTGTAATGTCTGAGATGTACACATGGGGGCAGGCTTTCCCACACTGCACTCCCCAGGGCTGGAGCTCCAGTGGGCTGTGGGACCAGTCGTCTCCTGGACTAGAGTACTTCAACATAATCTTACTAAAGAATCTAAGTCTGTCTTATTCGCATTGTTGCTGTCTCACACAACAAAACATTTGCATGTTATGATGGTTTATTAAATGTTCCACAATCTGGCATTAAACTGATAACTGTGGTGTGAAACATGCCAGGAAAAAGCAATAACATCTCCATGGCGACACAGGCGACCAAAGCGCCATCGGAAAAGTTACGTAGTCACCCTTCAAGTAGGAGTATTATTATAAAGTCCAAGAATGTGAAAAGTATTTAAGTAATTTTGTAAGGTTAATCCAGTAACTGTCTGACTGAGTATGCCCGACAAATTGCTCATCAGACACGTAATACCTTCTAAAAATAATCCACATCAGGCTAATTATTAAAGGTGAAAATGAATACACAATGGCTGGTGTTCCAGTGTGCAGTGAGAAGCACATGCCAGGAATCTGCTGGCAGCACAGACACCTGCAGGGACACTATGTTATGAGAAATATGTCTAAAAAATGAATGCTTTAAGTTCAAAATAAACTATTGAAAAAATGTAAATATTAACTAAAAATTAAAGATGCACTGTGAAACTGTTACTTACTTTTGGAAACGTAATTGCTCAAAAATACCTTAAAAACATGTATGTCTACTACACCTGGCGTTGCCATGGAGACTAAGGGTCTATACTGCACTATTTTCAATCTATGTTATAATGTTGTTTCTTCACCGCAAACAGACCTGGAGTTGTGTTTTGTTTCATTTACGCATGTTTAACACACAATTTCTGCATATTTAGGCTTCTCTCAGACAGTAAACACTCTTGTTCCTCCTTGTGATGTCATTAAGTGGTGTTAAGTAGTGTTAAACTCCATACACCTTCACTAGAATCATTTGTCATATACTATCATTTATCATGTATTAGAGACTTTCTATTCTACAATCTCAACTGTACAAAAGATACAATAAAAATAAGATTACTTAAGATTATTTTATTGTATTGAAGAGTAAAGCTGTTCAACTGAGGCTAAAATAGTTGTTAAACCAAAAACACAAAATGACATCACAAGGTGGAACAGAGCATTACAAGTTTTAGAGGTGTAGACAGACTAATAATCCAGGATTACTCAAACATGTGCCATTGAAACAAAACACACCTCTGGGTATGCTTTTGTCAAGGTAACAGCATTATAACATGGCTAAAAGCTCACAGGAGTCAATTTTGCCTAATTTTATTTAATAGAACCTTTAATGCCCTAGTGTGGAACATTCCAGACAAAGGAATAACACCCCCACAGCGTCTCACATCATGTAATTGAGTTGGCAAAATTGTAATGCTTCTGTGCTCTCAGTAACTTCTCCAGCTCTGTCAGACTGGTCCAACCACATTCTCCTTCCTCGTACCTTTCACAACAAGTCCACACATTCTCAACTCGTAGTCAACGGAGCAGGACTTGTGAATGGTGTGTGCGTGTGTGTGTGCGTGTATGCGTGTATGTGTGTGTGTATTGGAAGCATATTTGTGTAGTAAATCAGATAATATGAACGTTGGCGCAGTATCTGAGAGGCTTACCTGAGCGCTTGTCCCGGATCACCAGGTTGCGGCCTTGTTTGAGGTTGATGTTCAGGAGGTACCTCTGGAAGGGAGCAGGGGTGTAGGGCTCTGCAGATGTCTAGGAGAACAAAACGCATTTAGTGAGGGTGGGATTGGTGGGTTTCAGATTCTAGAGCCAGATTTTACTACAGAAAGACATAGAAGTTGCTTAAAGGTTGGTCCGATGCCACTTGAGCAACAGCAGATGTCATCCTAAGACGCCCTAACAGATGCAAAGACAGAGATTTAACTTTCTTTATTTGGTCATTTTTATTCTGTGGGTGGGTTTCAGATTCAGATTCAGAACAAGAGTTATTTCCGTTGATTGCATTTTGCTTTGTCATGAAATATCCAAAAAGTAAAGTCACAAATGCTAAACCTGGTCATTTCTATTAGTGACTAGACCCTAGGACTCACTGTATCATAAAAATGTATTATTATTATGATTGGCCTAAAGGATACATGTCAAACTCAGGCCCAGGGGCCAAATTTGGCCAGTAATATAATTATATTTGGCCCGCAAGATCATATCAAATATGTATTAGAGCTCTTATTATTATTTTATTTTATTATTATTATTTATTATTTAATATTATGCATGTTCTGGATTCAGTGTTTAAGCAAAACTATAATTAAATAGTTTAATTTATTTTTATTAAAAAAGGTTTAACATTACATATATCAGAAAAAGAGAAAACATGCAGATGTTGTTGAAATTTTTCAATAAATATTTAGTTTGGCCCACGACTTAGTCCCAGTTTTTAATTTTGGCCTCTGTGAATTTGAGTTTGACACCCCTGGCCTATAGAATGTAGTGTTGTAAAAAACCCAACAGTAAAAGATAAAGCAGAAAAAAGGGATAATCCTTTCACAAGTAAGTTCAGTAAGTTCACTGACACTAGTTTACTGCTTCAAATATGTCAGTTTAGCTAAACTAGCAGTCTGGAAATAAAAAGTTAAAGCCCAGTTAAAACTACAGAATAAACATTACACTGTCTTATTCTTCTTCTGTGTTTTATACCAGGTACAGTACCTCAAAGTGAAAAGTACTAAGGTATTCAAAATACAGTACTCAACGGACAATGGAATACACAATGTACATTCTAATAGAAGTTTTCGGTATCGTGTAAAAGTGCTTCTGAGATCTCACAACGTCCCATCTCTATTTCTTTAAATTACAGAGGAAATGATTCAGTGCAAATGATGACTACTACTGTGTTACAGTAATGTACCATCCAAGAGAACAAGGAGTGACTAAACAACAACTGAAACAGAAATGAGCACTGCCCTCATGCCATTTATGCAAGCTAACATTTTGAAACAGTAGTTGTTAAAGATAACGTGTAACATTTGAGTTGGGAAGTCTGCCACCTGCTTCATCCTGCCTAAGGTCTCGTCTCTCCACAGATGTGACACAACTGCTGGCTCATTGGAAAAACTTTAATGCTTTTTTGGGGGGGGATTCCAGGCAAAGCAGTGACACAACCAGCCTCCGTCAAGAAAGTTACACAGTGCACCTTTAGGTACTGTAACCCAATATAAGGTAAAAAACTGTGCTTAATTATAGTTGCATTACTTTGTGTTGTACTTACAGACATTTCTGGCAGTTCGGGCATGTTGTCTTCACTGAAATCAAACTGTTCATTGGACAGCTACAACAAAAATACAAAATAGTTTTTATCAAGGTCAGAAAAGGCAGTAACATATGAAATGTACTCACAATAAAATATTTGGTGAAATTTGAGGAGATGCACCATTTAGGTAATTTGTTATGGAGGTTACTTAGTATTTATTTAGGTGATGTTTAGTGTTTTAATTATTGTTTAAAGGAACTGTATCAAAGAGCCTGCACTTACAGTTAAAAGGTACTATAATCACAGAACCTGAGTTGTTAGTGCCTTAACCTGTAGATAGAGGACACACGTTTTTCTCATTCTCAGTATATGGACGGGTCATGCTTCGGAACCTCCAGAATTCCCTCACTGAGCTGCAGAGGCCGCACTAGCACTGATTAAAGAGGGGGAATATTGCAATTATGTATATATTTTTAGGCTTTCTATGTTTTTAAAGTTGTTTCCTCATGCCTGCCATGTTTGAGTAATTTTGCGATTTCTCCCTCCTTACGATTAGAAGTACGAGTTTGTGCAATGCTCAGCCCACAAGCCTAAGTTATCCATGCCCCCACGCAATAATTATCCATAAATATACAAAAGCAGGATACAAAACTGTACAAAGCAACTTGACAACCCTGATGCGATGTGCAGCAGCTTCATTAGTGGGATGCATGCTGACGGTGTTGTGATAGTGCTCTGAAGGGGGAGCGGCTTATCACAGAGAGTAAAGGGAAGGGAGACTCAGAGCATCAGAAAATGAAAGTGAAACTAATAAAACATGTTGCATGCATTTTTAAAGCAAATATAGTCATTTCAATACAATAAAAGGTAACATGGTGAGCTAAATGTAAAGTGTTAGCAGTTAATGGCCTGTAAAAGTAAAATACCTCCTCTTTAATGACTTTAAGGATTCAGATCAGAGAGAGTCCTTTTAAACCAACATTTCAGTATTGAAACTGGCAACCAAAATGACAGACTCCTGTGAGGCGCATTCTGCTTCCTAATAATGTCCAGAATGAACCAGAACACCAAATTATAACATAAACAAATTGACCATCATGTTTTTGTAATTAAGAAAATAATCAGCATTACAATTGTTATCAGTAAAAGCTAAATCTTACATACATCATCATCATCATCATCTTCATCATCATTATCTTTATTCTGGAATCATGGTCCATTTTTAAAACAGACGAGGACAGTGACAATACAAGTCATATATTCAGTCTTGTCAACGATTCTCGAGATCGAAGATTTAAAGAGAATGTTTGGTGAATTTCATCAAGGGGAAAGACTTTATTGTCAGCGGCACATTACATACGTCACGACCAAATAGCAGCGATTGGTTAAATGATAAAAAGTACCCGCCTGCCTTCGAGAGAACAAAATCTAAGGCTATGGTTTGTACGAAATGAAACAAAATAAAACGAAGTAAAACCGTCTGATGAATCAGGCTGGACACCCATACCAGTGTACATTAAAATTTCAAGTGCAGCTTGTAAAGTGTTCGCTCATGCAGTAACAAACATTTCAGTCGCATTCGTCCATCATGGCCTCCTCAAAAGCACCTGTAAGGCGTCACTGTAGGCTACATGCAGTCTTTGCAAACTGGCTTTTTTATAATTCATCTAGAGGTGAGCTGTGTACAGCGGTGTACAATATGATTTACGTACTTTACATCCTTTGTACAAGAACCAAACTTATACATAAGAGTATTTGTAGTATTTTAAGAGCATAGAGCAGTTTCTTTACAGTACAATACATTTCCTTTAAAGTGCAAAAATGTATTTCCTTATAGTTGCACATTTTTGCAGTGCCTCCTTCCTTCACAGTAGCACAGTCAAATATTCTGCTTGTTTTTGTCTCTCTGTTTTGTAACTTGCAGCACAGGTTTTGGCTGCTTTCACAGACTAAAAAACATCTAAGTAAGTAAATAAGAAAGCTTTATTTATATAGTGCTTTTCACAGATAAAAATCACAACATGCTCTACAGAATGCAGGTTCACCATAAACAAAACAAAACAAACTTTCTAAACAGGAGTGTCTTCAGCTGGAAAAATCCACAGATTCAGATCAGAGAGAAAGGGTCAAAGTGTTTCAGAATTTTGGGGCCAGGGGATTGGTCCCCGTGAGATTTAAAGGGACCATATTATGCAAGTTTCTGATCTATGTTATAATGTTGTTTCCTCATCACAAACATGTCTGGACTTGTGTTTTGTTTCACACATGTTTAACACACAAACCCTGCAGATTTCGGCTTTCAAACTGTCCCCAGAGAGTTGTCTGTATCACTCCAAGCAGGGTTAAAGAAGGACTAGTTCACCTCTGTGGGGTATTAACTGCTAACAAATGCTACCATATTTAGATCACCATGCTCCCTTTTATTATTTTGAAAAGTGAGTTATTTTCCAAAAAAGTTTTATTCTGTTCAACACTACACCTCATTTCCATTTTTGGGCACCTCCATTTACTCCCCATGCTAAGTCACTCCCCCTTCAGAGTGCTATTGCAACACAATAAGCGTGCACTCGCTAATAAAACTGCACATCGTATGGAGAATAGTCGTGTGGGAGCTTGGGTGACACAGGCTAGTGGGCTGAGCACTGGATGGAATCTCACAGCTAACCAAGTACAATTTTGTTCATTTTTCAGATTTTTTCATAATTTATGATTTCAGTAGGTTATGTTTTGCTAACTTATTTATTTGATACTTGATATTAAACTTATTTAGTTTCCTTGAAAAATCTGTCAGAAAGCCAGAAAGAAATAATTATCTAGCAAAACATTTTGGTTTATGTATTTAAAAAAAAATCACTTAACAGTTTTAATTTTGTAGAAACACATAAAAGCTATATATAGTATGAATTAATAACAGTGGGAAGAGCTGGAATTGTAATTTCCTTCAGGATAATAAAATATCTATCTACCTAATGTTTTAAGAACTAATTGGCGACACAATATAATTCTTAGAAATGTAAGAAATTTAAAATTGTATGCATTTATGCATAATAAGAATATTTTATCTCAATTTTAAACAGAACATTACCAACATTATAACTAGACTGAAAGCTGAAGGTGGATAAAATTGCCGGCATTAACATCTGTCTGTCTGTTATGGTAACTGTAGCCATGCTGTTATTTTAGCACACCTTATCACAGTCTTCAAACTGAAAGTGAAAGTGATCTATAATAACGCTCAGTAACAAAATCCCAGCAGTGATTCATGATTGGCAGCACCTCCATCCACTCAGGTCATAACACTCCCTTTAAAGAACTGTATGTAAGTATGTATATGGATTCAGTTACATAACATGACTTATAACTTACTGTATGTTCAACTCAAACGGAGCTTTTACTGACAACAAATGTAATGCTGATTGAATTACCAAAAAACACATACATTCTCTGATCTAAATGGTCACTACCTAAACTCCAGCACCTGCAACCATCATGAGTCAGTTCTAGTGCACCCTCTGCAGCGGCTACATACGTCTCATCTACATCTGTTATAATGTTGTTTCCTCATCACAACATACCTGGAGTTGTGTTCATGCTTGTGTAACATACAAATCCTGCATATTTAGTCTTCTAGTTCTTCTCTCAAACGGAAAACACTGTTCCACTTCCTTATGTCTTGTGGTAATATAGGAATTCTACACCTATATATACATGTCTACACCTTCACCAGAATCATTTGGATGATTTCAGTCCAGAATCAGAATTTCCCATCTCTATTAAACAAAATTTGAAAACTGCCATTTCATCATGACATTACAAGGTGGAACAGACCATTTTGAGTGTTGGACATTCTTTTCTCTTTTTTTTTTTTTTTCTTTTCTTATACTTTATCATCCCCGTAGGAAATTTGTCCTCTTCATTTAAAGGTTGTATGGAGGATTTTTTTTTGTTTCAAATTGTCAATGATAGCATTATAGAGGTGCAGTAGCCTTGTAATTATGATGACCAAAAAAAAAAGAGAATAAAAAATTCATCAACTCTGGACGTGGTGGGGCTAAACATTTGCCAATAGATAACGACATTGCCTCGTTATCTGTGAGCTGACAGGCTGTCAATCAATCTCCCTACGTTTCTAGTGTAACTGACTTGCCTGCGCGCCGCCGGTACGTGGTTTACGTACGACTGTCACGCAGTCCACAGACGCAAGCCGCACAGACGCTGTTTACTCCACCAACACAACAGTTCTTAGCGGCTTTTTTTGACCTATATCTTCCTCGCAGTTCGCACAAAGTTTGTTGCAATGGCGACAAGAATCCAGGAGCAGTTAGCCCCCAAAAGAAAGTCCGTTTTTGAGATTGCTGAAAGAAGAAGACAAGGGGAAAAGCAGCGAAGCCAAACTAAGGTGATTCTTGAAGATTCATTCCAGCGATGGCGTGACTGAAGCAGACGCAGGGTCTAAAGACTGACGCACTGGTCGCCAAATTACTCCTGGACAGGTCACTTCTGCTTATTATGAAAACGTACTTTATTTCCAAGAGCTAGTCAAACGTTTTTCAGGACACGAAAGCGATATCCTATGTCTGAAAACGTAATTTTCAAGGCAAAGAAAGAGTCCGCTTGCTGCTGCGTGTTGTAGCTAGTTCATTCGCACTGAATCTCCGCGCACCCTTCTCTGCACCCCTTTCCTGCTCCTGTCCCCGCTGCCCGATCCACTCTTCCCCCTGCTCCTCACTTCTCCGGGCACGGAATCTCCGCACACCCGCTCCCCCCGCTCCTCACTTCTCCGCCTTGCCTAACCAACACTGTAGTTAGTTGTTTTACAAGTCATGTGCAGCGCACCGGCTGTAAACAAACCTGTTTCTGGCGTAAAGAGGAGGCGGGAGGAGGCGTTTCTACGTAGGGAGCTGTAGGGGAGGGGGGGTGGTTTCACGCATGCGCAACATTTGAAAAAGGACAAACAATCGCTGGATTTCTCGTTCCTTGGAAAATCCTCTATACAACCTTTAACCCATCCTTGATGGTGATAATGATCCAGACACAGGGAGACTAATAATAAAGGATTACTCAAACATGTGTGAATGAAAGAAAACACAACTGCAGGCATGTTTTGGAAGCGGTAACAACATTCTAACATGGATTAAAGCTCATAAGACAATTTTGCGCAATATAAGACCTTTGAGTGAGGTTATATATAAACATAAGATCATATTTTTCCTGACCTCCGTTACCTCCTCCACGTTGTCCTGGTGCGGGGATCTTAACAGCGTCTCCTCTTCATCCAGGCCTAACTCACACATCTCTATAGGAGTAAACATCTCCTGCTCCTCTGAGTCGGTGGTGTTCCAAGGCATCTTCTCGTCACTGGGCGTCTCACAGGCAGAGTCCAACGAAGTCCCATCCGTCTCCACCGGCGGCGTCAAGATGTCCAAACCCAAACCGCTCGGACACTGCCTTTTAAGCAACAATGGAGTACCTTTTTCAGATATTGCTTTCTTCTCAAACTTCTCTCTTGTCTGTTCCCCCATGGAATGAGCACGGGCTATATATGCTGCAAGCGGCCCAAGTTCATCCATATCCACATCGCTTCGAACTTTATCACTGGAATGCTGTGCGTTCTTAAAAATAGTTCTAGGAGCAGGTACAGGTTCTAACGATTTCTGTGGATTTGCTCTGTTTTTGACAACTTGAGTGTAAAGAGGTTCATCTGAGACACTACTTTTCCGGTCTCTGGGTAGATTGTGAAGCTCGCTCATGTCCTCGAAGGTAGCCATCGCCGGCGCGCTAATGCGATTGGAAGCTAGCGGTTTAGCTTCGGCAAAATCTCGCATGCGGGGTTCATGAACTGCGTCCATGTAGAGCGGACCGTCGTGGGCGGTGTTGCTGGAGAGTGAATCGGAGTCACTGGGCGCGGGGGACGGGGAGATCTCAAATGTGGTTGCATCATGAGGATCGTCTCCCAGGAACTTGACCATGCGGAGGTCAGGTACAGAGATGCTGCGGCGGTATGTTAGCTTCTTAGGAGGTTTTGGATTGTTCTTCTTGCCGATCTTCTTCAGGTTGGGGAATTTGGCTCTGATGCGCCAGTTCTCCAGCATGTTCTTCTTCTTCTTTTCGTCCATATTGGAAAGGGTTGAACCTATGATGAGAAAAGGGGTGTTAGTGACGGAAGCAACGCAAAGTAACACACAGATATACTTTATGTAAACAAATGCAAACGCCTGTTGATTTGCCTAAATATCAGAACAGTGGTGCTGAAAAGAACATACTGCAGTGTACAACAGTACAGCTACATTTCAAAACATGAAAATGTCATTTTCTGCATGGCTATATACAGCTATGCAAAAAATTATAAACAATGATTAGCGTGTGAGATTAGCATATGAGTAAAACCAAGTGAACTGAAATGTGGCTAGGAAGAGGCTGAAACAGTTGTACTTTTTACCACCTGCTGCCATGTTGGTTCTAGGTGCTAATGTAAACAAATATAAACTTATATTAAGTGTTCAAATATCAGTATTAAACCAGTTTTTAGAAAAGAAAAAAGAGCTTTGGTGTTAGATTATTAACCCTCTCTTCCTGTTAAAGTCAGAGTTATATATATAAAAAAAACAGTTTTATAGAACCAATATGGTGTTGACTGCCCTGGTATCCATGTGTAATCTGCACTGACTGCCCTGCGTGACATTAGTTAGCAAAAAACAGTGTCTGCACTAACCTGACCAGTTTAGAAACTGGCACAGTTTAGAAACTCTTTTCATGGGTCAGATATTCCTAAATGTGCAGGCTGCACAGAGACAGGAGCTTTGTGATCCACCTGTCATCATTAATGAAGAGATCACCCGTCACCCACAGCCATTCAACTGTTATTTTGGCTCTGGCTCCTGGAAACCACAGTTGTTTCTATTTCCAGTTATATTTTTGTTTGTTACACATAACTTTTGTCATATTTCTACCAAATACAAGAAATACTTCCTATGAAGAGAGACACACTTTTTATTTGTTTGTTTTTTGGTCTGTTTGGCCTCTAAGCGTACAAACTTTCATGTAGAAACAACATTGTCCACTCTCAACACTGAAAGATGTGTTAATATGTAATATATACCAACTTGTAGTTATAGTTTATGTGGGATATTGTAACATCAAAGGCTATTTTCTCAAAATGTTTTGTTATTTTCAGCTTGTTTGACACAAATAGTTGAGTCAAATATTTGTGGTTTTTCCTTTTATTTTATGGTTACATTTTGTTTAGAACCATTTAGACTCACACAATTCAGAAATAGTATGTAATGTGAGAATCTTTAATACATCTAATCTAATATCATATTAATTTGTAAAAAAAACAAAAACAAAAAAACAACAACATTTATTTGAGAGACATGATGCCTTCAAAATAACTCCAACTCTAACCCGGTCTTTACTTATCCCGGTGTAACAAAACTAAAAATAAAACAAACCTTCCCCTTCAAATTATTTCAACACACAAGTTAACTTTGTTATCACATCTAAATCCCAATAAATCACATGTCATTAATCAAATATTATAATTAAAATCGTACTTTACCTGACCAGTTAAAGTTAGTTTCACACGGAGCTCATCTCAGTAGCTTCTCTTAGTGACGACACATACCAGAGAGGCTGCCTGCCCTGCTCCTCCGCCCCACGCAACAGCACCCAACCTGGGATTGGTGCAGGAGGCAGACTATGCCAAACTCACCCAACCAGTCCCACCAGTCCAGTTTCAACCATCCCAATACTGCAATATACAAACGACAAGTACCAAAAGTCTCTCAAGGCTCACTTCAAAATAAAATGAGAATGATTTATTTATTTATTTTTACTGTGAGATTAATTTTTTTGGATAAACACATAAACAGGAATTGATACATTTTTGTTGTCATCTTTTCTCACCGTAGTCTCTGTGACTTTAGTCTTTGTTACATGAGCTATTGTGTTGTGTGGGTGTATCATATAGTAATTAGCATATTAGTAATTCTTAGATTGTGTAGTATACAGGGCAGGAGATCTTCTTAAAAAAAAACATAAAATAAAATTCACAGGTAGAATAAATTGTTTCCAAGCAAGTACAAAAAGAAATACAAATTCAGTGGCCTTCAATGTGTCAACCCAAAATATGTATGTGATGGAACGGTCTCCAAACATCACAGAACTTAGTGTTTTTCCTGTATCCATGGCAGCCTTGTATGCCTAAATCTCTATGACCATCTCTCTATGCTTACCAGCTACCTCTGAAATGCAACAGATTTATTTATTTTTTTTACACAACAATGCAACAAACTTTCTACAACAAATCTGGCAGAAGATGTTTCAGAGGGATTGTCCCATCTCATCATGCCCCTGAAAGCTGCTGTGATGCTGCAGGAAGCAAAGGATACAGTGGAGGAACACTTTTGTTCTGAGGGCTGCTATTCTCCTCAAACTGCCCTTCAATTGCCTGTTCATTTTGTCTGTGGGCACATTTTCAGGAATATGATTGGAGGAAGGCATGTGTTACTAGCCTAATTCATCAGCTGGTTTCACTTCGTAGAAATTGTCTGACCTCGCAGTGTTAGAATTTGTTCGCTCAACAGTAGGCGGGTACTTTTTTTTATTTAACCAATTGCTGCTATTTGGACATGACATATGTAATTCTATATTAAGCTTTTCCCAAATCCAGTTTGAAGAAGGGCAATAACGTCTTTCCCCTTGATAGAATTCACCAAACATTCCTTTGTTCCAGCTTTAAATCCTCGATCTCAGGAATCGTTGCCAAAACAGAATGGATTGCTCTTCGATTGCCTGGTGCCTGAACTCGCACTTCTGGGTTCTTGCAAACCGTCTAGTGTATTCCGATTGCTGGCCGAGTCGCTGGAGAGAAATGAAATTGAGCGGAGGCACTAGGTGGCGCCAGCCTAACTAATGTGTTACTGCTTGAAAAATAATAATAATAAAAGCTTCAGAGTTTTTCCCATTGTTTCATCATACTGAGTGATGGTAAGTCACTATTGAAGACACAACTGCCAACTGGTCCCTATCTAAGTATTCATTTTTAAAGGTCCTATAATATTCAGAATTGATTCTTGTGAGCTTTAAATCAAGTTATAATTTTGTTTCTTCATCAAAAACACATCTGGAGTTGTGTTTTGCTTCATTCACCATGTTTGAGTAATTTTTCCCTTCAGCCATCTCCATCCTCAACAAACTGGCCATCTGACGTTAATGTTTTGGCCTATTTATCTATCTATTTACCCATCTATGTATTTGTTTATCTATCTATTGTGTTTTGTATTTATGGTATGAAAAGTGTTATGACGTCTGTGAAAATAAATTTCTCAGTGGGACAATAGTAGTCTTATCTATCAATCCTCCAGTGAAGGTAGCCCTGTTCTTGAAAGGTCTAACCCAGCAGTTTTTTTGATCAAGTTTTATTTTATTTTGTATTTATTTAAATAGCCCATATTACGCTATTTTCTGATCTATGTTTTAATGTTGTTTCCTCATCAAAAACATACACGGAGATGTGGGTTTTTTTTTCAGTCACACATATTTAACACACAAACCATGCATATTTAGTCTGAGTTCTTCTCCCAAACAGAAAACACTGTGTTCAATTTTGTGATGTCATGTGGCAGTACAGGTTTTTAAATTCCATACACCTTCACTAAAATCATTTGGACAATTTCAGCCCTGGAATTGCTGAACTGAATAAAAGGTTAAAGGCAGCTGCTGATTGAAAACTACCACTTCATGACATCACAGGTGGAACAGAGCATTTTGAGCTTTGGAGATACAGACAGACTAATAATAAAGGGTTAGTCAAACATGTCTGAATGAAGCAAAACACAACTCCAGATGTGTTTTTGATGAAGAAACAATATTATAACTTGACTTAAAGCTCACAAGAATAAATTTTGAAGATTATAAGACCTTTAAAAATGAATATAGATAGGGGCCAGCTGGCAGTTGTGTCTTGAATGTGACTTACCATCACTCAGTATGATGAAACAACAGGAAAAACTCTCAAGAAGATTATTATATTGTTATTATATTATCATGTTGAAGTTTATCTAGGCTTTATAGCACATTATCACACATGCTGCATAATAACACTGTCAGTATGTTTGTGTATATTGATTAAAAACTGTAAGGATTGTCAATATTGTATTATCATTTCCTTTATTATATCTTAAACTGGCTTGGAAATAGTAATAATTTCTCTCTTTTTCTCTTTTTTTAGACGCACATGCACACTGTTCTTTGGGTGTTTGATTTTTTTTTGTCCTTAAAGGGACAGTTCGGAATTTTGAACATAAGGCCTCATTTCTTAGTGAGCCAGAGTGTTGAAGACGTGTGGAGACACTTTTTTAAATATTCCATCCAGTCCTTGTGTTTGCAGAGGTCGCTGGTGCTAGGCTAGTGCATGTCAATGGCCATAGTTATCCTGCCACTAAAAACAGTCTTACCCACTCCACAAAGCACCCAAAGCAAATCTATTATTACGCCAGACTGTTGATGTAAATGTCTGTGTTGATAGAATAATTTTAGAAATAAAACCAACCTTGCATTTGAAGGATTTATGTCTGAGCAGCAGCAGCGTGTTGTACTTCCTGGTAGAAAACTTGGCAGCAGCGGACTGATTTATAAGAAAATAGTCCCTCAACATGCAACGATTCATGCGATTCAAGGTTAGTTTTATTTTAAACATTATTCTATCAACACAGACATTCACGTCGACAGACTGGCATAATAATAGATTTGCTTCAGGTGTTTTGTGGAGTGGGTAAGACTGTTTTTAGTGGCAGGCTAACTGTGGCCATTGACATGCACTAGCCTAGCACCATTGACCTCTGCAAATACAAGGACTGGATGGAATATTTAAAAAAGTGTCTCCACACGTCTCCAACACTCTGGCTCACAAGGAAATGAGGCCCTATGTCCAAAATTCCAAACTGTCCCTTTAAATGTCAGCACCTATTTTTTGGCATGTATTTGAGTTTTTTCCCTCTGAAATTAATTGTTTTCCAATGATGAAAATTCTGAGTTGCACACTTTTCATTGAAAGTGTTAACATTGCTGCGCCACACTATGGTCTTTATATTCTCCTGCTTTTTTGTCCTTGGCCAATCACATCCCTGAACCTTTAAAATGAATAATTAGATAGGGGCAAGTTTGCAGTTGTGTCTTCAATGTGACTCAATGGGAAAAACTCTCAACAAGGTTATTATTATGTTTTTTTTTGGTTTGTTTGGTTTTGTTTTTTCAAGTGGTAACCCAGGCCTTCTTCTGATCATATGAAGGTATTCTGAAAATGTGCCCAGAGACGAAATGAAAGTACGATCACTATGTGTGCACACGTCACTCCTCCTCTCTTCCTCTTATTCTCCGCTCTGGCCCGTCCTCCCTCCATCCTGCTGCTAACACGAGCTTTACATGGCTCTCCCGTATCAAACCCCTGTCTTTGTCGAGTGTTTATCCGAATATTTGACTATTTATTTTAATGCGTGACACTGTTTGCTCTGTGCATGCTCTACATTTCCTCGAATATGGGCCCGATTATTTGAATAATTTGCTAATCTGGAGCTCTCGCCTCTCGTACAACAGTCGTCCTGGTGGCTTCGAACCCGTGGTGTTGGTGGATTGCGGGACATATGAGATGTTGGCTGTGTCTTTCCTCTCTTTCTCGGCGTAGATCTGTCAGTGTGTGGAGTCGTGTCCCAGAGTCCCAGGATAAGTCCCGCTCTAGTCCCACCGTAGTCCCACCCTATCCCGCAACCCCGGCTTTGTTTACTCCAGAGCCCCAGCGCACCCAGAGAGCACGATTGTGTTTGTAAAGTATAAACTACAGCTTTACTTACTGAATATAGAAGCCCTCTCTCCTTTTCTCTCTCTCTCTCCTTCTCTCTCTCTCTAGTTCCCTGCCTGTTTCTGTCTTTCTTTATCTTCTCTCTTTTTTATCTTCCTTTCTTTCTTTCTTAAACTCTCTCTTTCTTTCTCTCCCTCTTTTTCTGTCTTAACCTTCTGTTTCTTTCTTTCTCTCCCCTCTTTTTTCCTTCTCTCTCTTTCTCTCGTTCTCTCCCTCCCTCTCTCTCTCTTTCTTTATTTCTCTCTCTCTTTCTCTCATTCTCTCTCCCTCTTTCTTTCTCTCCCTCTCTCTTTCTTTCTCTCTTCCCTTTCTCTGTCTCTTTCTGTTCTCTTTCTTTCTCTTGTTCTCTCTCCCTCATTCTTTCTCTTTATTTTTCTTCCTCTATCTTTCTTTCTTTCTTTCTTAATCTCTCTCTCTTTCTCTCTTCCCCTTCTCTAACTTTTTCTTTCTCTCCCTTCTTTTTTCCTTCTCACTCTCTCTTTCTTTCTTTTTCTCTCTTTTTTCTTCCTCTCCCTCTTTCTTTCTCTCCCTCTCTCTTTCTTTCTCTCCTCCCCTTCTCTGTTTCTTTCTTTCTCTCCCCTCTTTCTTTCCTTCTTTCTCTGTCTCTTTTCCTCTTTCTTTTCCTCTGTCTCTTTCTTTCTCTCTCCTTTGCTCGACTCTTTCTTCCTTTACTTCTTTCTTCCTCTCGCTCTCCTTTTACTTGCTCTCCTTTTCCTCTCTAACTTATTCTTCCTCCTCATTCTCTCTTTCCACTATTTCTCCCTCACTTGCTCCTTCACCTCTCTTTCTCCTCCCTCTATCTCTTTTTTGCCTTCTCACTGACTTCTCTTTCTCTCCGTATTGATAGCTCTCGTTCTGTTGCTCTTTCTAATCTTACTCTTTTTCTCAATTTGCCCTCTTGATCTCTCTCTCTCTCTCTCTCTCTCTGTCTCCCTTCTTACTCCCCCACTCCAACTTTCTCTCTGCTCTCACTTCCTTCTCTCTCTCTGTTCATCTCTCTCTTTGCTGCTCACTCTATTATCTCTCTCTTTCTTGCTCTCGATCTGTTTCTCTTTTTCTTGCCTACCCCAGCTCTCTCCACCCCCTCACTCTATTCTCTTTTCCCTCCTCTTTCTTTCTCCCTCTCTTTTTTCTCTCTTTCTTCCCTCTCCTCTCTCTCTGCCTATATCTCTCTGTTCATCTCTCCATCTTTCCCCACACCTCTCAGTTTCATTCTGTTTTTTTTTTTAATCTCACACACTTTCACACAGTCTTTCTGACTCTACGTCTATCGTCTATGTCTGTCTATCTTTCAAACTCACTCTCTCTCTCCCTTATTTTGTTCCTCCCTCTTTTTCTCTCTCCTCTTCTCCTCCCTCTCCTCTCCCTTTCTCTCTCTCCCTCTGCGCAGACACAGCAGATGTGTTTGAGTATGGCCCACGACTTGTTCAATATTTACCGGCGTCTTAAAGGAGCTCAGGGCCACATGAACGCTCCCAAACTTGGCTCCAGGTTGAAAGGCAGATCGGGGGCTTGTGGGGGGGGTGTGTGGAGGGTGTGTGGGGGGGTATTTGGGGGGTACGTGGGGGGTATGCGGGGCTTTCTGGAGGGGTCTGTGGGGGGGCTTGTGGGGGATAGGCCAGGGTCCCGTGGCAGGTGGCAGAGCTCATCTCCAGCTTGGATAGTGAGGAACAGGGGTCTAAGCCAATGACACAGCTGGTCTGGGGGAAGAGGGGAGAGAGAGATGGAAGAAGAGAGAGAGAGATTGATGGAAGAACGAGAGAGATGGAGCGATATCTCTCTTAACTATTTTGCATTACATTTCATCCACACCTCTGTGTTTTGTATTTACATGATACAATGTGTACTATTTACATACTGTAAACTATTTACAAACAACGAGATCCAAAAATGAGAGGCTCGAGGACCCCTCAAAGCCTTCCTGGTCACTAAAATGCTAAATGTCATATTTACCTGATTTGTTTCGGTGGTAGCACTTCTGCCTTCATCAGAAGTGTCTTGGCTGACTGCTGTATCGTCTCTTATCAGCTGTTTTTTCCCGGTGTAGTCAGTTTGACAGAACTAACAGATCTATTAGACCAACCATGCCTACTGTTGCTGTGGTGGTCTCTGGAGAGGGTGAGCGCCCCCTTGTCTCTGTTGATGGTCCGTGTGCCCTGCTTCCTGATTTCAATAGGCTCTTGTTTCCATCTTTTGTATTTGTGCTCCACTGTTGCTACTATTCTAACCCTGTCCCAGTCATGACATGGTTTTAACTTTTGCAGTGGTCGGATATTGGCGACTTTAGGTTTTCTTGCATTGCCTCGGACTGACCACTGCAGGTGTGTAGGAGTGCTACTGCCAAAACATGTCAGGTAAGTTATTTAGCTTTTTACAGATATGTCTTATTAGAAGTTTCTATATAAGAAGGCAAAATTTATTTTCTGCACATCCCCCTCATCACTGTTCAGGTGGACCATCAGTTTGTAGAAAGTGTTTCCAGAGGAGGCTTCCAGGGCTGCAGAGGCAGAGCAGGTCAGCAGTGGACCAGGAGCCACTTCTGTGTGTGAGCAGAGCTCAGGCCCAGGTGAACGGTGTGATCCATGTGACGTCCAGAGCCTGAGACCTGACGCCGCTGTAGTTACCTGGATCACAAGTAAAATACACTACCTTTTTATTTTCATGAGTATTTACATTGTAGTTTCTCTCTGAGAGCATCCAAGCTATGAATGACACATGGAATGTAATAAACAAAAAATAAACTCAAAATAACTCTAAATTTACTTTCATATGTGAGTTTTGTTCAACAGCACACATCAGCTCACCTGTTATAGTCTTGTTCTTATGGTCAGACTGAGGTCAAATAAAGCACATCTAACACATCCTCAGACAGAGCAGTGCCGCGTTACCATCACACCCTCTGGGAAAGCTTCTGATATCAGCTGCAAGTATCAATCAGAAAAAGACATTTTTACTTTAAACCTTGTACGTGAGGATAGGCCATAAAAAGTCTTATTGCATTATTTATTAATTGTATTGTATCGCCCTCCCGTGGCTGCTCACACTTACTACACAGTACTAGTACTACCACTACATTTGCAGAAAGGACATTGTTGTAGTTTCATCTTATCACCACTAGATGTCCTGAATGTCCATGGTTTGGTTGGAGCAGCACATTTCATTGTCAATGTCTCATTTGAACAAACAGGGACATATTGATACAGATATAGCAGTAGATATCATCAGTATTGTCTGGGGTGTGAAGTTGTAGCTCTGCTCTGTCTGAAGCTCTGTTACACGTTGAGCTATTATTATTATTTTAACACAATCTGACCAAAAAAAGAACTGGTTGAGCTGAAACTAGGACAGGTGAGATGATTTGTGATCTCTTACACATAAAATTAAACATGCAAGCATTAGCCAACAGTTTTCAGTCAATTTAATCTTTTTGTTGAAAATCAAACAACTAAAGATTATTCAGATTATCTTAAAACCTTTTGGCAGTGTTTATCACCATGTCAAAGTATGACTACAAAGTATCAATAAGCTATTTCTGAGGAGTATTTTCTGCAAAATACCTTGAAAAAATAGATTCATGCAATGCCATACTGTGGAACATTCAAGGCAGTTGTTTGGAGAAAATTATAGTATTGTCCAAATGTCTGTGAGAGGTACAGTAACTTACACTCTATTTTAATACTAAAGAATAGACTAAATACTCAATACTGATTCCAACACCTCAGTGATATTAAAAAACACAATTTCTTTAGACAATAGAATTTGATTTTCAACATTAAAACGTAGTACTTTCTTTTATATTCCCATGTGGCCTTATATCTGTATAATCCCTCGTCGTCCAGGTAGGTTCCTTAGTGGTTCATGGGTGTATACTAGTCTATGTGCTCTTATACTTGTTCTGATACAGCTCAAGACCATTCTAAATTCTCATTTCTGTCCTGTAAAACTGACTTTTTTAGTATCAATATTTGCACAAAATAGTATTTCGAAACTTTTGACAATCCTAATCTATACTATAATACAACAGTGGTGGAAGAAGTACGTAACTTAAGTACTTACTTAAGTAAAAGTACAGATATTCAAGCAAAACAAAATCAAGTATAAGTAAAAGTATCACATGAAAAAAAATGTAATAAATCCTGATTTAGATAAAATTTGTGCTTAATTTTATTCAGCAGAAACAATTGAATCAGTTTTTTTTCTTAGCTGTTTTTATTTGTATATTTTTATTTGCTCAGGCTATGAAAGTGTTCAAAAATAAATCCCTCAGTCTTTGCAGCAGGCCTCAAACAACAATAAAAATACTTCTACTTCTCAGGCATAATCAAAAATATAATAGAAAGTACAGTTACTTGCTCTCAAATGTAGTGAAGCAAAAGTAAAAAGTATCCACTTGAAAATGTACTCAAGTAAAGTACAGATACCTACAATTTTTAATTAAGTACAGTACTTTACTACTTTCACTTTGTTACGTTCCACCACTGTAATACAATATGATAAAATATGATTAGCAATATATCATAATTTAAAAATGAAACAAAGTAGACGTGGGGCATACACAGAGTTGTTTAATAAAGTTGTGATTTCTACATTTTAGAAGGTCACAGGACACAGTCTAAGAGCTGTGTACTTTATACACAACAAGAACCTAAAATACACAAGTACAAGCCAATGTCTGTACTACTGTGAGAATACAAACTGTACAACAAGATCTAGCATAGTATCTTCATCATAAAAAGTCCACTTGAATTTTTACCTTATAACCAAAACATTATAACATATTTAAAGTGCCTATGACAGGTTGGATGACTCAGTTTATTAAAACACAGTTAAGATCATAATATTTAAGATTTTATTTTAAAAAATGAAAAAAAAAAAGTTCACAATTTAGCAATTTTTTAAGCTTTAAATTTGAAATCACTCTTGGGAATTCCATAACTCTTACCTGGCACCCACAACAATAGTAAATAGTCACATTTTTATATAGTGCTTTTCCACCTTCAAGACACTCTTTACAACAAGGAACCACTAGTCCATTCACACACACATCTGACACTGGGGGCAAGGTGGATTGAGTGTCTTGCCCAATGACACAATGACAGTATTTATCTGTGGGAGCTGGAATTGCACCTCCAACCTGTGGATCTGACTGTTCAACCAAGGGCGTTAATGTTGAGAGCGGGATTCGAACCGTGGACACACCACGACAAATAAAAATGTAAGAAAACTCCTTTGCTTTGTTGAAACATTGTTTAAAATACTGAGAAAATTTGGTTTCTTTTAGATAGAATTCTCGCAAGCGTGATGTCTTTAATATGGAGCTCTAGACTTTATGTAATTTTCCACATATTTTTCAACTTTTCTTCACCAATTGCTTCTTGATTGGTGAAAAATATCATTTACACCAAGTATTATCCCACCAAATCAAGTCAAAATTTGAGATTCATCGAAACCTGTCATACACACTTTAACAGAAACCAAATGTAACTTCCGTCTCGTTTTGACAAAAATCATAACAATAATAATAATAGTTTCATTTTTGGCAACAAAGTCCAGCTTGTGTCGCCGACCCGGTCCCGGGATAGACCAGGACCAGGCTCTGTTGTATTCAGCGAAAGGAGCTACAGCTACAACAGTTAGCAAAGAGCCACGCTACCACCAGCACCAACACCACCACGCCAAGCAGAGAGCCCTCCACCTGCTCCAAAAAAGTCCAAAGATCCAGTCCATAGTTCGATCCAAGGTTTTCTCCAAAGTCCATTCTCCTTCTCCTCCTCCTCATCCCCCCATATTCTACTTTGTGCACTGATTTGACAAAAGAGAAGGTCTTGCGTTGCGTTCACTGACCAGGTTCACTGCAAAAGGTAGTGATACAAAAATATCTAAAATATCAATGAGTAGTTTTTAGGAGTTTGTAAGTCAAAAGGTGCATTGTGTAACTTTTCTGGTGGAGGGCCAATCAAATAGTTATCGTCATGGCCATATTATTGCTTTGTCTGGAATGTCTCACAGGACGATATTAAAGCATTCTATCTTCATGGAGACCAAACCAGACCAAGTTACAGGTCAGATCTGTGGAGAGGCGACCCCGCTCACAGTCAGAATGCCTGTTTTTCTAGGCATTTTTGAGCTATAACATCACCTGTAATTGACTAAATGTAAGTTAGATCTGTTTAATGTCATACTGTGGAACATTCCAAGCAAAGCAATGACATGTCCATAGAAACAAGCAGGTGAAGTATAAGTCTAGACTGTTTGACTTTGACTTTAACATACTAGTTTTAATCTTATGTTTTGAAATGATATGTTCATTAGGTTGACCTCCAGGAAGTGCTCCATTGTGTTTTTAAAGTCCATTTCACCATGACTTCTTCTGATCATATCGACACTAAGCACTGGCAAACAGTTGGCCACCATCTGATCTATGTCGTTGTTATATCTATGCCTGGAATATTCCGCAGTATAGCTTTGAATATATACCATACTGTTTTTGATTTCGATACTAAGGATTGCACTCGATATTTGATTCCGAGACCACAATAATAATAAAAAACTGTATTTATTTTGACAGTAGAATGTGATGCTTATAATATATCGTAGTACTTTCTTTTATTTTACCATGCAGTCTAATATCTGTGTAATCAAGATCATTCTAAAACTATTCAGGAAAGGTTCAATTCTATCCTGTGAATGTGACTTTTTTAGTATCGATACCTGCTCAAATCTAGCTTGATTCATCAGCTGGTTTCACTTCGTGGAAACCGTCTGACCTCGCAGCATTAGGATTCGTTCGCTTGGTGGTAGGCGGGTACTTTTTTAATTTAACCAATCGCTGCTTTTTGGTCGTGACGTTTGTAATGCACTGCTAACTGGTATATTAAGCTTTTCCCAAATCCTGTAGGAAGAAGGGCAATAACGTCTTTCCCCTTGATAAAATTCACGAAACATTCTCTTTGTTCCAGCTTTAAATCCTTGATCTCGGGAATCGTTGCCAAAACAGAATGTATGGCTCTTCGCTGATTGGTTGGTGCCCGAACTCGCACTTCCGGGATTCATGCAAACCGTCTAGTGTATTCCGATTTCTGACATAGTCTAGAGCTGGAGAGAAATGAAACTGAGCGGAGGAACTCAGTGGTGCCAGCCTGGCTAGCGCAAATCTTCTTTGAAACTAGTTTTAGTATCGATCAGGATCAGATTTTCGATACTTTTGACAACACTAACATTGGAAAATTCCAGACAAAGCAATAGCGTGTCCTTGGAGACAACTGACCATAAAAGTTACATAGTGCATCTTTAAAGATATAATGTAAAATATGAAGTATTACTAAAATCCTGAAAATACATACACTTCAAGAGCTGTTTTCTTACTGCCATATTATTTTGCTGTTTTTATTTAGCAGTAAAACATAGTAAAAATGAAATATTCTAGACTTAAACAGTATCTATCTTGAGAGTACAGAGGTGTGGGTGTTCTGAGCTGGGCGAGTGCTTCTATGCTGTAGTTTAAACATAAGTGTTGAAAAGTCCTCAAAATGGCGTCTTTGGGATAAGGCCTCTGTGTCTGTGCATAATTTCCCTGATACATTTGTTTAAGTGCTCGTCGTGCGATGTGAGGTGCTCTGTGTTGTACTCATCATTATTGCTATCACATATTTGACCTGCTGTCTCTATAATGTATGTGTATGGAAATGGGCGGTCGCGAGTTCGATTCCAGCGTCATGGGGCGTGGCACTTAAGGATAAGAACAGTCACTCGTTTTAGTTTTACTGTTTTTCCTCCTAAGGTTAAATGCAGGACCTGCTTCATGAAGATGTTTTAGGTTAACTCCGGTGGTGTAGGGGTGTAAGTCTCACCTCATAACGAGAAAGTCCCAAGTTTGATTCCCATACCATGTACTGTGTAATAGGTTTGTGTTTCAGAATGATGAAAAACTAGTTGCCATAGAAATTAACCATTCAAAATGAAATATTGCATTGTTTGGCTGGTCAAAAATTTTCAAAATGGCACCTATAAACCGGGAAATGAACCTGAAATAAGATCGTCTCCATGGAGATGTTATTGCCTTGCCCAGAATGTTCCATGATAGCATTAAACATAACGATCACCATGGAAACAAACAGGTGACGCCATCGATTTGTGGAAAGGCGACCCTGCTCATTGAAAGAATGGTTGTGTTTTTCTTTTTTAGGTATTTTTGAGTAATAAAAACACATATAATAAAGACAGATATGTTTAATGCTATGCTGTGAAACATTCCTGGAAAAGAATAACATCTCCATGCAGATAAGGAGGTGATGGATCTACCACCAGAAAAGTTACATAGTGCATATTTAGAATAATTATCAACCTGTAGGACTGCAAACTTGTATAATTTGTGTTAATAGGACAATTTTAATAAATATGTTGAGAAAAAATCTTATCTTTTGATGAGGTAAAATCTAGGGATGAAACAATATCCAAATTTTTCTGTATGATATTTTCACAATATGCATCTCTCTGTATACATTTATTGCAGTATACAAAAAATCAGAAGCATTAAAGGTCTGTTAAGGTCTGTTTACATCTCCAAAGCTCAAAATGCTCTGTTCCACCTTGTGATGTCATGTAGTGATAGTTTTCAAATCTACCACTTTTATTTTTAGTAAAGTCTCGTGAAGGTTTATGGAGCTAAAAACACAATGGAGCACTTCCTGTATCACTACATAACATTGCAAGGTGGAACAGTGTTTTTTTTGTTTGTTTATATTGTGTGTGAACATGTGTGAATGCAACAAAACATGAACTCCAGACATGTTTTTGACAAGGAAACAACATTATAACATGGATCAGAAAATAGCAAAAAAATGGCCACTTTAAGTCTGTTTACAGTCTGGGAATCAAACCTTGAACCTTCTCGCTGTGAAACCAACTTTAACACCCTTTGTGAAGCAGGCCGTTTGACATCAGGCTTTGAGAATGACTGCATAGATTACCACAAACTCAGAGCTACCGTGGTCTTACTAGTATAGGGAAATCCCACAGAATCCCACACCAGAACCAGGTCAGTGAACGCATCACCACTCCTCTATACAGCAGACATCTATACAACAATGTGCAATCAGCAGGGATAGACAGGGCATGTGTTTGTGAACAAAGCTGGAGTTTTTCTTTATCATATGGATCAGATGTACAGATTCTTTACAGCAGAAAGCATGGTTGTGTTTACAAAATGGTGGACGAGGAAATGGGCAAAAGTAGAAGCATTTTTGTACAAGATTTGTGTTGGACTTGTGATGATTTTTTTGTCAAAATTTCAGATGAAGAGTAAGAATTGATATTATTCCATTGGTTCCATTGGAGAGATTGTTTTTAGGAATGCACTGATATCAATACTGGTGTCAAATATGTGCGCCGATACTTCCATGATATCGGTTCAGTCGATTTACTCTTAAACATCTCATAATGTTTGAACTTTTATCCATACAAAGCTGTTCAGTGGTGATTTGAAGGATAAATAACAGTTACATAACACAGTTGAATCTTATGTGTAATAAGTCAAGTGTGTTTTAATGAAATAAGTGCTGCATTTTTACGTTCCCTACATTGGTATTGGTTAGTAAAGTCAAAATATCGATATCGATATCGGGACTGAAAAAGCAGGATCAGTGCAACACAATAATTTTTAGTTTTTCTAAATTTTTCAGCAAGCAAATTTTCTCAATTTTCAGTGAGCAAATTATTCTTAGTTGAGGTGGGACACAATAAGTTATTTATATATTTATTTATAATATTAAATCTTGTAGCATAAAGTCATGTCAGCTGAAAACAATAGGGGCCTGAAACTGAAAAAGAATGATATCATGTGGTGAAAAAAATAATAAAAAATCCAAAACACAATAACCCCACTCCCACTTTTTTTTTTTTTTAAACCATAAAAAAGTCTACATATTTGAAGACTATAGTGTTTTTTTTTGGCCAATCAAACCTCTTCATGACTAAAGAGTGTAACATTTGTAAAATTTGTGTTTTTCGAGATCTTTCTGTTCCATAGAATAATATCATCCTCTGCCTCCATCTGAAAATTCGATCCAACAATTCTCAAAACGTGAATGAAACCTATGGATAATATTTACATGATATGAGCAAAGACATCAGTTTTGAAAAAGGCCTCTTCTTTTTTTCTTTTTCTTTTTTTTTTTTAAGCACAGATCTGAATAGGAGCAGTTCAGCTGGACCTTGGTCTGAAAGTTGGTCCTGTGTTACTCACCTGAACTACACGGAGAGGAGAGCTATTTCCTGTAGCCTTCACCAGTATTAGAGAATGGAAAGAGAGAAAGAGAGAGTAAGAAAGAGGGAGGGAGGAAGGGAGGGAGGGAGGGGGGAGATAGAGAGAGAGAAGGAGGGAGAAGGAGATAAGAAAGTAAGTGAAAGACAGAGAGGGAGGTAGAGAGAAGAGAGCGTGTGAGAAAGACTGGAAAGAAGAGAGTGAGGACAAAGTGAGAGAGGAAAGAGAGAGGAGAGATGGAGAGAAATGAGAAAAAAGAGAGAGGGAGAGACATGAACTGGAGGCAGACATGTGGGCGTTTTTGTTCAGATTTCAAATGCGAAAAATGCAAGAATTATGAATTTCAGGGGGCCCATGTAATCGTCCATAAAAAACATAAAATTTCAAAAAAGAAAACGTGACGGTACACGTGACGACAATGTTCTAACCCTGATCTTTTTTAAAATTCACTATTTACATCAAACCTTCAGTCATACAGCAAATGTCCATGGCTTTTCATATCAGTATTAGTTACATATTTTTACAACAGCGTTAAACAAATCATAGTAATAAAAAAGAAAAAGGTGAATTTGAGTGTAACCACGGCAACTGTACACACACGACCACAGCTTTGGCTTATATTACTGATGTGTCCGTGACGCCTCTTCATCTCGTCATTGCACATTACATTTTCAACGTTTTAAATTATAAAAGCATTCATTATTGCAAGAAAGTCAAAGTTTTGTAACAACCAAAAGTATGTTTACATCGATTAAAGGCGAGACACTGCAGGTGAATAAAAACAAAAGGTCCTAAAGTATGCCAAACTGACTCATATGAGCTTTAAGTTATGTTATCTTATACAGCCTCAAAAACAGATGAGGAGTTGTGTTTTGTTTCATTCACACATTAGTCTGTCTGTATGCTCTGTTCCACCTTGTGATGTCATGAAGTAGTAGTTTTCGAGTTAATAGCTACCTCTTACCTTTAGTTCGGTAGAAGTTGGAAAATTCAGGTCTGAAATAATCCAAATTTTTCTAGTGCAGGTGTATGGAGTTTAGAAACACCGTGGGGCACTTCCTGTTTTGTCACAAGGTGTTTTCTGATTGAGAGAAGAACTCAGCCTAAATACGCAGGTTTGTGTGTTAAACATGTGTGAATGAAACAAAACATGATATATGTTATAACATAATCAGAAAAGACTGTAATATGGGGCCTTTAAAGTTTAGAGATTTCAATTTAAAACTTTGTGTACATTGGTGTTAGAACAAAATATTTCTTCATGTAATGTTTTCAAGTAAAGATGTGAAAAAAAAAAATCACATTGTGACAAAAAAAAAAATGTATTTGTTGACATATTAGATACCATCCTGTTTTCAGGGTGGACTTTGGAAAACTTGTTTAGTATTTGAGTAATTGAAAACTGGCTTAAAATTTTTTTTTAAACAAAACGTGTCTTGCTCCAGTACATATATATTGTATAGGGAACTCTTGAGGTCAAAGTAAGTCTGCTGTGTGGGTTGATAGTTGTTGTTGAAAGTTGTGAAAAAATTTATAAACTAATTACAGTGAATAATTATAATGCAAACTGTTAAAAATAAACTAGTTCTGTTTTTCACGTTTTTAAGACGATAAAATTCTTTTACAACCCGTTTAAGGGGTGATCTTTACATCCATGTGTGAGCAAAAATGTTACAAGGTCAAAAATAGTTTTGCCTGTAGTATCTCGCCTTGATTAAACTAGCTGTATGTGGTGATGTATGGATTGGCAAAGAAGAGGCCACTTATATACGTATTAAAAACATTGTATAGTAACAGCTTTTCCTGCAGTACATTGTAAATAGGTTCCTGTGGCTTAAGCTTAAACCATAGACTGTATAAAGAAGTGGACTAAAGGAGAGTGGCGTCGCCCTGGTCTAGCAGTTATAGGGGTGAATTTGGAGCAGATTTACAAATTTGTAAATCCAGGTGCGAGTATTATAGCAACCAAAGAGCCAATCAGGAGCCAGGTTGTTGAAGGTAATGCCACTTCTGCCCACACCACTTGTTTGGCACGGGCGAGCGCTTAGTCAATCAAACCTGTTGCTAACATTAGTGGGATGAAAGAGGACATCCCATTGGTCTGTTATTAATGTGCACAAGTTGATTTATGGACAAAACAGCTAAATATAAACTACAAAATCATGTACGGGGTTAATATGAACATTTTAAGACAAAAATGACGAGCCTGACGACAGCAGTTACAGAGAGAGGGGCAACGGTTTATCAGTAGAAAGTGAATTGAAGCTGGAGTCACTGGAGCCTGGAGCGTGCCCAAGCTCACTTCTGATTGGTAATGTGGTGGCTAGCTATGTCCATTTATATATACAGTCTATGGCTTAAATGCTCTGATTGTTAGCATCCGTTCACGCGACAACTCTCACCATTCCTCCAAACATAACTATGGTAACTAGGGTTCTCTGAGTACCTGCACCTGCTGCGTGTGCACGTCCATATTTGCGGTGTCGCCGTTACCGCTCACAATCAGTCTAATAGTTTGAAGATAAGCTCCGTGGACCCTCGGCGTAGCGGCGGTCTGAGCCTGGCCGCTCCCTGCCTTCTCTAGGGTGGGGGGACTGGAGCGCTCCCCAGGCCCCCGTTTAGGTCACCCACGTGTCCATGCGCAGCCTCTTGACCGACGGGCTCTCGCGGTCGCTGCCATCGTAGGAGCTGCACGAGGAGCTGAGGCTGTCCGCCGGGGAGCGCCCTACCGCGTCCTGCCTGCCGGGGGCGCCCTGCTGGAGCTGCTGCTGTGGAGGGTGGGGAGGCGGAGGGTGATGAGAGGGGAAGCTGGAGGGGGTGAGGCGCTCTCGTGGGGGGGAGATGGGCTCTGATTTAATGCTGATGCCCTGGCTGGTGCTGATGGACAGATTAGAGCCCTGAGGTAGGTGACCGCCGCCGCTGTGGGAGGAGCAGAGGGAGGAGTCAGACATGGTACAGTGACACATTGGTACAGTTACATGAGCACACTGCTTCAGTGACTTCTGATACACTGAGCATAATGCTGCTTTAGTACAAGTGTGCTGTATTTAAAGCAACAGTATGTTATACTTTCAGGAGGTGGCATGTCACCTGCATGATTCCATGAAAATAGAAGTTAAAAACATACTTCGGAAATGGAAATAGATACGTTTTATGGTATAATGTGGAATTCTATAGCCAAAGGAACAACATATTATTGGAAACAAGCAGAAAGATTCCCTCCTCCAGGCCAAATAAGAATCAGGTTTGTGGAGATGCAAGCCTAAGCCAGTACAGACACATGTTTTTCTCTATTTTTCAGTGCAGAGAAAAGAGAAAAAACATGCTTTCATTTTAGTTTATTTTTTGGCAAAGGAGGTTATTGATGAAAGTCATTCTCTACATTTGACCCATCTCCAGATGCTGAGCTAGTGTTGGTCAGGAGTACCTAAGATTGAGGATCTGACCTATTGACCTGAAGCCTTCTTTCTGTGAAGCTGAGGTGCTGACCGCTGTGCCTTGCCTCAGGTTGAATAATCTACATTTCCATTGTCAAACAGAAGTCGGACAATACATTTCTGTTGTCAGTTGTCCAGCATACGATACAATATATTCTAGAATACATGAGTCTTAAATCTACCTAATTATAGCGACTAATTGTTACGTACAATAAAACAGGCCATTGCTTATTCAGGTACAAATATTACAAGTGTTGTCAAGTTGTAGAAAAAACAGTATTCTCATTGCAAAGCTACATTATCCCCCATTAAAAATGCATTAGGCCTTTGTTCCATCAATAGCAGACACTGAAAAGGTTGTGTTGGCAGCCAGACTGGTGCTCTCTGTATATTCTGCATACCTTCATACTCCTTCATATACTGAGAATGAGAAAAATGTGTATGTGTCCTCTATCTGCAGGTTTAGACACTGGAACCCAAGTTCATTGTTATTGTAGTACCTTTTTAAAACAGATGCTTTTATACACCCTTACTAACACGCTGTCCTAATACTATCCTTCATATACAGCCTCGCATAGCCAACCTCAGTAGCATTCGAGATTGGAGTAATATTTGATCATTTGAGCACACACAACAGGCCTGTGACTCAGCCTGTGGAGCAGTGGGTGGGTTCAGTGCTTTGGTACTCACACCAGAGAGCTGAGCGCCGCCTGGCCCAGAGGATGCTGTTGCCATGCCGACACCGACCCCAGCGACAGCCCCGGGGAGCCGAAGCCCTGAAGGGAGGAAAGGTCCGCACTGCTCAGAGAGTAGTCTGAAAAACAAACATACAGAGGGTGAAGGCAGGCATATAACTAAAGGGAGGGCATCAGGTTTAAGGTCAGGGAGTAGACTGAAAAACAAATATACAGAGGGTAAAGGCGGGCATCTAAATACAAGAAGAGCACCAGGTTTAAATTCAGGGAGTATTATGAAAAAAACACACGGCAGGGGGTAAAGGCAGTGAGGTAACTACAAGGAGGGCATCTGGTTCAGGGAGTATTCTCAAGAACACACACACATAACTTCAGGGAGTATTGTAAAAAACAAATACACAGAGCGTAAAGACAGGTATCTAACTACAGGGAGGGCATCAGGTTTAAGTCCAGCAATGGAACTAGAAACCCCAAATGAGACACTCATGTAAAGCTCTTTCTGCCTTCTGATTGGATTATAGCTCTGAGAACCAAAACGCCAAATTATAACATTAAAAACTGGGCCATCTTCAACATTTTTCAAATTTTTCAGCATTAGAATTGTTATCAATAAAATGTATTTTTGATTTGAAGGTGTTTACTTCATATCTGGGCACACAGTTAGGTCAGTATCTTATTTAGTATTTGAGTAAACTTGATCTGACAAGAAATTTGCTTCATTTTTTGCAGTATGGAGTCTTTCTGTATGATTGTCTTTTTAAAGGTGCACTATGCAACTTGTTGGTTGGGGGGTCTGTCATCTGTTTGTTTCTATGGAGATGTCATCTGCCTGGAATGTTCCACAATATAACATTAAACAGATCTACTTTACATTTATTCCACTGCAGGTGTTTTATAGCTCAAAAATACCTACAAAAACAGGCATTCTTACTGTGAGCGGGGTTGCCTCTCCACAGATTTGACCTGTAACTTGGTTTGATTTGGTTTCTATGATGATAGAAAGGTTTAACGCCATACTGTGAAACATTCTAGATAAAACAATAACATCTCCATGAAGACCTTTAAGTACAATATAGTAAAGTTTTGGTAGTTAACCCTGTGCCCGTACCCATGCCCTGGTTGAAACTCACCAGCGGGGTTGTAGGAGGACGGCATGCCTGAGTACACCAGGCTCTGAGGGGGCAGGCTCGGGGTGCTCACTGACACAACAGGGGTGGCCAGGGACTGGGAGGGCGCAGAGCTGCTCAGCCTCTGCGAGTTCTGGAAGAGAGAAGAAAACACACGAAGGTAAAGAAGACATATTGTGCTATTGTGATCATGTATGATGCCCGTGGATCATTATGTTGTTATTTGGACAATTAATAGTCCTATACTGCACAAAATTGACTCTTGTGAGCTTTTAGAATGATCCTCATCAGAAACAGACTTGGAATTGTGTTTTGTTTCATTCGCACATGTCTGAGTAACCTTTATTATTTGTCTGTCTACATGTCTAAAGCTCAAAATACTCTGTTCCACCTTGTGATGTCATGTAGTGGTAGTTTTCAAGTTAACAGCTACCTTTTGCTTTTTGTTCAGTAGAGAGTGGCAATTCCAGGGCTGAAATCACTCAAATGACTGATGAAAGGTGTATGGAGGTTAAAATCACAGTGGAGCACTTCCTGTATTACCATGACATTACAAGGTGGAACAGAACTCAGCCTAAATATGCATTGTCTGTGTATAAAACGTGTGCGAAAGAAACAAAACACAACTCCAGGTCTGTTTGTGTTTTTGATGAGGAAACAACATTATATCATAGATCAGAAAATAGCGTAGTATAGTTCCTTTAAATAACAATATTCATCCAAAACAACTTAATAAAAGAAAAATGTCCACTGACTTATGTGTTATAAAATGTAAAAATGTAAATGCCATCATCCCATGCATATCATTGATTAGGAAAGTAAAATTGGAGAACAAAGTATGTGCAGAGAACTGGACGTGTACTGGAGACACTGAAAACAGAAAACTGCTTTATCTATATTCTCAGTATAGGTTTTGAAATCTTAAGTAGGGATGTCAAGATTATTTGGTTAATATGTTCCCATGACAACATAACATTATAGAATCCCTACAGTTTAAACTATAAAACTACATTACGCAATATTTACTCTCGTGAGCTTTAAGCCATGTTATACAATGTTGTTACCTCCTCAAAAACAGACCTGGAGTTGTGTTGTTTCATTCACACATGTTTGAGTAATTATTATTAGTTTGTCTATATCAAAACACAGGGTTACAGGGTTTGGTATAATACTGCTGCAGCCACAAGGGGGAGCTAATGCATGTGGATAATGCATGGGTCCTGGGTTCCACAGTGGAGACTTAATGTATCATAGGATTGTTTTTCAGAGTGTCTTCATTAGTGTTGCAGACTTTGATACTAAGGAATAGACTGCATAGGCAATACCAATTCTGATACCACAATGATAATGAAAAACACTTTCTTCAAACAATAGAATGTGATTATCAACATTCAACAGCTTAAGATCATTCTTAAGATATTCAGGAAAGGTTCAGTCCTGTCCTTTGAATGTGACTTTTTAAATATCGATACCTCTCAAGTGAGTATCTAATTTCGATACTAATTGTGATGTGAGGGAGTTTCATAACTGTTACCTAGCTAATGTACACAGAAATTATTATCTGACATATACAAATATAAGAAAATACATTCATTTTCTTGAATTAATGTTTAAAGTATCAGAAAAAAATAGCTTCTTTTGTATTAAATGTGGCTAACTTTTGGACAGTATTCTCTGTAGTGTGTGATCAATTCAATGTGCTGTAGAACTCTCCCGCAATTTTCAGCATATTTTTCAACAATTCTTCACAAATTGCTTCTTGGTTGGTGTAAAACTATGACCTGGCTCACAGCAGATTGATATTTATACCACTCTGCACTGAATTCTGAGTTCACATTATCAATCTGGAATGGCTCTCGCTGAACATGATCGGAAAATGTGAAGCATCATGATGATTATTTGATTCTGACTGGTTGACACATCACAAAAAGAGGAACAAACTTCTCAAACTTTTGTTACATTCAGCTGAGAGAAAAGCAGAGACATCTTTCCTGTCCACGAATGCACAAAGAGCTTACCTTCTCCAAGTTTTCACAAACAAAATAGTCTGCTAAAATAGGCAGTAAGTACATCTGACGGCATCACCATGTTTGTTTTGGTTTGTTTGGGTGCTTTGCCTTTGGCTTCCACACAAACCTCAATGCTGCTCTTTGATTGGTTGCCCACCCAATTAACTTTAGCACGCGCACTCCAAGATAGACTCTGTTTGTGAAGTTTGTGAACTCACAAATATCACGAGAATCCATCTTGGTGCTCAAGGTTAGTAAAACTATAATTTATATTTACACTAGTTATAATCCCACCAAATTAGGTAAAAAATTGAAAATCATACAAATCTGTCATATGCACTTTCAGGTTTACAGTACTTCCAATTATTCAGCCACATTGTTGACAGTAATGATAACACAGCGTGCAGTGAGCCAGTGAGCCTTTAAAAGTCTGAGGGAAGAACATGACATCAGAGCTTTTGACCATAATACAGAGGGATCTGAAAGAGCCCAAACACAGTGAGCTCACAGCATCACAACAGTCATTAGAGCTACGGCTGACGCACGCACAGACTACAGGCCCAGACTACACTTCATACAGCGCTAATGAAGGCGTATTGACAAAATAAGCAAAAAAAATAAATAAACAGAAATAAACAAAAATCTCTGGACAGGAGCAGAGTGGTAGGAGCAGCACAGATCAGACCATTTCTTCAGGGCTGATGAAGAGCTCACCTCCACACACTGTCCCACTCTGATGTGCGTTATCTCATACCATTATGATATTATCTGTAGTAATGACAGGCTGTGTACTGCCCCCTGCTGGCTAAGCTTGTGCACTGAGGCTGTCTGTCTGACCTCATTTAACCCCAACATAACCGCTGCTGTAATCCAATTCGCAATTTAATGACAGAGGCTCAAAATGACTGAAGTGTATACAGAGCTGCAGGGAAGGCTTGTGCACTCAGGTTAAGTAATAAAATCAATGATAATGACAGCACCCTCCGTCTGATCATCTAAGACAGGCACATGCTGTATTGATATTTGCAGTGACATCATGCTGGGGGTGTTCTAACACGTATCTATTGGCGAAATGTTCAGTAGTTACCATGGGGACACAACACACACATTTGCAAACACAGCCAAAAAAGTTTTAAAGTTCTGAAAGTTTTAACTCAAGAAAAAATACAAAAAATGATTTAAAAACACATTTTCAGGGCCTGTTATGCAATATGAGCATTCATGGTCCTGTTTAGGTGTTTGATTTTCAATAAAAAGGCAAACTGAAAACTGTTGGCAAATGCTATCTAGCTTGTGACTGTAATTTTATGTGTGAGAGACTTTGCTAAGATCACAAATCAGCTCTCCTGTTGTAATGCCAACTAAGTCAGACTTAAATCTGACCTTTACACAATCTGATCAGAAAAAAAATAACAAGTCTCAAGACAGAGCAATGCCTACAGTTAGCATCACACCCCCAGAGAATGTTGATGGCATCCAGTGTTTCTCACAGAAAATTGGTTAGGCAAGGCAGTGCGGGGGGTGCACGGAGTTTCCGTGCACGGAGAAGACGTGAGGAGTGGTGGGGGTGAGCGGAGATTCTGTGTGATGACTGTAATTTTGCAAGGATCCATGTGGTTGGGGGGGTCTTGGTCAAGGCGGTCTTCACTATAAAGTGCTGCGGGAAACACTTACATCAGCCGTAAAGTATCATTGTCTACTGTTGCTGCTTTATAGTGCAGGTGGGGTTTTGTATATACAGTATGTCAAGTTTGCTACAAATATATGTTTTTCAGCAGCCATGTAAAATCATGTTATGAAAATGGCGGCCTAATTGCATTTGTTTAGTTTCAGTAATGCATGTGAAACCAAGGAGCTCATTGGTCACTTCTCATTTAAAAGTAAAATCAAATTTCCCTCACCTCAGATTAGTTTAGTTTAGTGCTTCGCTTATTGATTCTGCAGAAATCTGCCATGTTTTTCAGTCCCCTGTGGTAGTTTTTTCCTTTCTTGTTTTCTCGTAAACAGCTATATTTACTTTCATACGGGCAGGCTGTGCCTGTCCCTGATTGGCTAATCCACCTGTCAATCACTCCGATTTGAAAACATTGAGATTCCAGATTTAAATGTTCCTAAAGTATCGGAGAAGTGTGTATTCTGGATCACAGACAACACTAAACCACTCCCACCCTGCAAAATGTCTATGTGCCCCACCCGCCTCTCTTTTAGACACCTCAAACTTTTATGATTAAGCAAATAGTATTTTAGTCTCACTTTGATGACCCAACTCATGTTCACAACTTGTCTAACAGCGGGTACCTCATAATGACGCTCATAAAAAACCTGTGAATCAGAACATGCAAATGACCCTCCCCCTCCCCACAGAGCTGGCGCGTGCCCGGGGCGGTACTCACCAGAGGGGGCATGATCCCTTTGGACGCCGGTGGGATGACCACCCTGAGCTCGGGCTTGCCTCTGCCCAGCGCCAGGCTCTGGGCAGCGGGTGGGGGTGACTTGGCGTGGACCCCCTTCTGACCCAGCCCGGGGGACCCTCTGCTGGGGTTAACGAATCCATTCCCTGCGAGAGAGAGGAGAAGAATCAACAACAACACCATCAAACCAGGCACCGTGACCCGGCACCCCCAGCTAACCGCTAACAGCTAACCGCTAGCTCCACGCCGCATTAACCGTCGCGCGCCTCTGGGAACTTTTAATAGGCTCCGTAATTATGGCGGCGTGCACGGCAGTAACGCGTCCATTGCAAACTTGATGAGGCTGAGTTTTTTATGGAGTCTCTGTAGTGTGAGTTGAGGAGCAGATCACAGACAAATGTACTGTGACTGCTCCAACACATCAGGGAATTCTAAACTATAAAAGTGTTGTTTCCTCTCCACACTTTGCTGTACGCTTCAGTGCGACGGAGAGTTTGTGGTGTCTGCCGCTAACCTATGTAATTTAAACAAGAGCAATTAGCAAAAGTACAATTACAAGTGAGATCATGTTGTCTGTAAGAACAAAATGTCCCTGTGTGTCCTTGAGGTGTTACTGTGTGTAAAAGTGGCTATTCGTGTAGTTTAGAAGTCTACAAATATGTTCTGAAATGTTCCTGTATGTCAGATGCCCTCTCTGTGTCTTCATGGGGTCTTATTTTGTATAAAAGCTGCTCACCCTGTAGTTTAATCTTCTAAAAACATGTTTGATCCCTAACATTAAAGGATCAAAATTGGACATTGGACATTGGACATTAGTTCTAGAATGGACCATATTAAAGCAACAAATAGGATTTTAATATGATGATATATGTAGAAATTAAAAAGTATACAATTGCCATCGTGCAACTGAATCAAGCCTTTTTGTGTCAGCTATTAAAGAGACTGTATGTGAGATTTTGATATCAAATTCCATCAGCATGAGCAGATATGAGGTAAATATGTTCAACTCAAATATAACTTTTACTGATAACAAGTCTAATGTTGATCTATGGTTACAAAAACATTGATGATGTCACATTTATAAGGTGTTTTGGTTTTTAAGATGATTATTAAATCAGAAAACAGAATGAGGCTTACGCGAGTTTCTCATTTGGTTTGCCAGTTTTAATGCTGAAATCCAGCTGGTTTAAACCTAAAATGCCTCTCTCTGATCTGAATGCTCTCTACCTAAACTCAAGCACCTACAAAACAATCATGAGTCAGTGCTAGTGCAGCCTCTGCAGCTCAGCGAGGGAATTCTGGAGGTTATAAGCTTTCACCATAGGCTGTATATATAAAGGGACAACGCTCTAGCTGCCATGTTCCAAGCAGGAAGTTCGCGTGCGGGCTCTTCTGGCTCCTTCTGATCCTGGCTCCATTTGACTTACATTGGAATATTGCTGCTCCTCTCTCTGTAACTGCTGCTGTGAGCCTTGTCATTTTGATCTTAAAGTATTCCTATTAACCCACTCTACATGATCCTGTTTTTTTCCTCACTATTTTGTCCATCAAAAAAAATCCTATTCATAATATAGAGCCTGGCTCCAAATTTGCCTCTGTAACCATTAGTATCGGGAGCTTCCTTTGAGTTGCGCTGAATGCTATGGGTGACATCACATTTGCTTAGTCCTATATAATATCTATATCTGCAGGTTAAGGTCCTGACAACCCAAGTTCAGTTGTGATTGTAGCACTTGAAGAGGATAGACACAGTCCCTCTAAATAAAGAAAACAGCTTCTGCTAAGTATTTAATTGAGTTATTTCCATTATAAGAACAGTGAATAAAAGTTAAATAAAAGCATTAAAGCATCATGGTACAGATTTCTATTAGAATAATGAGTTGTCTTTCATTTACACATGTATTATTCATATAGTTTCAAGAACCTTGAAATGTTTCCACAAATTCTAATGCACAAACAGAAGTATGGAGAACCGCTAAAGCCCAAGGGAGTTTGTAGTGAATGCTATCTGCCACTGTATCAGAGATCAGTGACACAGGAGCACAGGGGCCCGGGGCCATTGTGTGTGTGTGTGTGTGTCTGTGTGTGTCTGTGTGTGTGCAGGCTCCTGACAGAATAGAACAATAGAGGAACAAATAAACAGTCTAAGGCGTACAATGGTCTGACAGCTGAGTCAACACACAGCTCTCAGCTCCAGTGTGGGCTTATGCAAGAGACTAGTTTACTCTGTCATTACGCTCTGGTAAATATAGAAATGTGTCTTAAAGGGGAAACACTAGCACTGATGTGATGTAATAGAATGTATGTGTAGACGTTATGGTGCATTGTGAAAGGGTCAAGTGGTGAAGTGTGGGGAGTGGCTGCAAAACTATATAACGAATTACTGGAGCAAAGGTAGCACTGTAAACTTAAAGGTCCTGTATTACGCTAAATTGACTCTTGTGAGCTTTAAGCCAAGTTATAACATTCTTACCTTTTCAAAAACTTTCTTGGGGCTGTGTTTTGTTTCATTCACACATCTGAGTAACCCTTTTTTATTAGTCTGTCTACATCTCCAAAGCTCTGAATGTTCTGTTCCACCTTGTGATGTCATGAACAAATTTTACAGCTAACCTTAAGGAGGGTTAAAATAGCGCCTGGGTAAGATGTCAAAATTACTCAAACGTGCATGAATGACATCTAAAAGCAACATTATAACATGGTAGAAAGCGCCAAAAAAGTCAATTTTCCTTGATAGCCCCTTTTTAACCTATTACTTTGGTAAAAGGACTAAGGACTTTGGGAACCCTGTGTTAAAGAAAGACTCTGTAACTCTTTTCTGGTGATAGGTCTGCCATTTGCTGGTCTCCATGAAGATGTTAATGGTTTACTTGAAATGTTGTAGAGTATGACATTATCCCCATGATGAAAATCTGCGAAAAACCACTAGGTCCAGGTACAGACCGATGGAGAGGCTTTTTCCACTGTTTTGAAGTTTTTGTCCAATCAAAACAACTCTAATTGAATAAATGCAATACACATACAGCATTTGTAATGACATACTGCTGAAATTGTACCGTAAAATTCAAGGTAGTCCTAACCAAAACTAGCTCAAGATCTGGAAATGAGTCCCTAGGTCCTGACAGGTTGGTCCAGAGGATGAATTTCTCAGGCTCGATACCTTACATTCAAGTTCATATCATCTCCATGGAGACAGTGGATGCTTGTTACTCTCTGCACCTCCAACACACATCATGGATATTTTCTTGGGCTTGTTATGATGGGAGAAAATGTAGCACCCAAGGGACCCTTCTCTAGTTCTTGAACCAAGATCTTGTCTCGTTTATGTTCATGAATCTGCCATTGAAATACGATATATATTTTATTTGGTTAGTTTAGTTTTCTGTCTTTTAGCTTTAGAAGGAATCCTATCAGACAAAGGGAGAACATGCAAACTCCACGCAGTCCAGGGCTCATCTCTGGGCCTTCTTATGTAAGGCAGAAGAGCATCCAAAAATAGACTTATTCGCTTCTCTAGAACTCCTCTCCTCCAGCACGCGTCATGAAAGTGATCAATAATCCATGATAAACATCTGGAGTAGAGCACCTGCTGCCCTCCCGTGCTCTCTGTGTGTGGGGAGTGTGTAGGACGTGGTAGGCTCTCATGCTTCCTCGTTCCCCACACGGACTCACTGCCTTATAAGGGTTCTGTTATGTTATCATATTCATGTTGTGTTTAGTCTCGCCAGTAATTCACTTTCCAATACAAATGAGGTGGGATGGCAGGGTGGTTAAGTGTTCGCCCATTAACCAGAGGGTCATTGGCCCAAATCTAGGCCATGAACTAACTACTGACTAAATATGAATTAAAATTGGATTGGATTAACACTGTAAAATAAAGATGCCCTTGGTAACTTTTCTCGTGTGGGGGTCTGCAACCTGCTTGTCTCCATGGAGATGTCATTATATAGTTATTATTTTATAGATCTGACCTGAAACTTCTCCATGGATGTAGATAAGTTTACATGACATCTCCATGGAGACATCACTCAAAACGTTTCCGTAGTATATCTTTAAGAGAATCTGGAGCATGTGTGGGGAGTGTGTAGGACATGGTAGGATTTCATGGTTCCTGGCTCCTCACTGCCTTATAAGGGAGCGAGGAGGCCATATGCACCTGCCCAGAGCAGAGGGAGTAGCGGCTGGGGGAGCTATGGACCGACTGACAGCATGGAGGAGCCTAAATCATGAGCACATTCAGGTACAGGTGGTTGCCGGCATAGGGTTGAGCGATTTTGAAAAAATATCTAAATATGTTTTACGATTACTAGAGGTGGGACGTGACAGAATTTGAGGGTGAATTAAGCTTGATTTATTCATGATGCGTCTGCAAGGTGGAGCACTTCCTGTATTACTGCATGACATCACGAGCTGGAACAGTATTTTCTGTTTGAGAGAGCCTAGATATGCAAGGTGTGTTATACTTGTGAGAATGATACAAAACGAAAATCCAGGTATGGCTTTCATGAGGAAAAACATGATAACATAGATCAGATAATAGGAGAATACGGGCTCTTTAAACAGGGAATCGCGATGTGGTGATTTTACTAAAAATGCAGATTGAGATCACAATACAGGCCCGTACAGTTCCCTTAAGACAGTGGAAACATATTTAGATCACCATGTTACCTTTTAACATTTTAAAAATGCTGTGTATTTGCTGAAAAGTTTAACCTGTTTTAAGTTTCACTTTAGCTTTTAACTCTGATTTTTCTTATAATAGAATTAAAACGTGGCAGCATTACTTAATCACAAAAGCATGTTTTAAGTTAGTTGAAAGGACTTTAAGCCATTATATTAATATGGTAATTTTGTGGACCCAGTGGTTTTTCTTTTCATTTATTTCTTTTCAAAATAGTCTTTCATTTGTTGAGAAATGAACACATTGCATTCCTGAACTTGAATGCGACTTATTCACTGTACAACCACTACTATAAGTACTACAGCCTCTTTTACTCCAGCTAACATACCTAAAGTCACTCCCAGCCTCTTCACTATAATTGTGTGCTTCTAGTACAGCGGGACACTCTTGACTGACCTGTGCCTGGGTGCCTGTGGGTGCCTCCGCTGGAGCCCATATTCCGGTGCAGCTGGGCCGTGCCGGGGCTGAGCATGCTGCTGTCGGGCCCCCCCAGAGTGGCCCCTGGAGCGTACATGGAGCCCGGGTTGGACACGGGGACCGCCACATGCATGGAGAAGTTCTGCTGGGGAAGGCCGCTGGGCTGGAGGGCACAAGAGAAGAAAACATTTCAAATTAGTATTGTTTTTAGTGAGATAAAGTTATATCTTATCTTATCAGATTCATTTTATGTTTAGTCTGGCCAGTAATTTAACTTTCCAATACAAATAAGGCTGGATGGCATGATGGTTAAATGTTCGCCCACTAACCAGAAGGTCACTGGTTCAAATCTAAGCCCCAGATTAACTAATGTTTTATACAAATTAGCTTCGACTACTGCCTACCTAACCTGACTTAATAATTTAAATTTGCCGACCAGACTAACACTGTAAAGTAAAGATGCACTTGGTAACTTTTCTGGTGGGGGGTCTGCAACATGTTTGCCTCCATGGCATTGTTATTACTATTATGTAAAGTTCCACAGTATGCCATTAATGTATTCATCTTGCATTTATTCAATTGAATAATTTTTCTGGTTAAAATTATACAGTCTTACTGTGAGCAGGTTTGCCTCCCCACAGATCTGACATGTAACTTCTCCATGGACATAGATACGTTTAATGCCATAATGTGAAACATTCCAGGTAAGAAAATGACACCTCTATGGAGACAAGAGCCGGATTTTCTGACAGAAAAGTTCCATAGTACATCTTAAACAGACCCTTGAGTGTCATCATAGTGCACATACACAGTGTAAACATGCATCAGTGTCACTACAGCCCTGCTCCAGTCAGCACACACTTATGTATTTTTTACTCTCTGCGGGCTGATATACTTCATAAAGACTAAAGGGGGTGTCACCACGAGTCCCCTCCATCTGCGGCAGGTCACACTCATGCCTACATGTGAGCGCTGACTGTACACGGCAGAAGTGAAGTGAGGTGCTTTGACCTGGGAGCGGTTGTTGTGGCATTAAAATGAGCCTACCGTGGAGTTAGTATTTACCATTAGTTTCTACTGTGGTGTTAGCATTGTCATTGTCTCTTTTGTCATGGAAACCCATCTTGTACCTTTAGCTAAAATGCACTTGTGTCATTTGAAAGCTATTATTATAAAAGAAGGTATAGCTATAGTAAGGTTACAGATTAAAATCTTCATGTATATTGATAGTCATGAATTTATATCATAAAACTTAAAAAGAAAGCTTACTTTTAAACACCATTTAAAGTAGGGTGACCAGATTTTCAAAATAAAAAAAAAACTGGGACATCCCTGGTTTGTGGTGGTTGGTAATAATAAAATTGTGAAATGAGTGCATAATTAAAGAATGAAGTGGATTTAGCTACAGCTACAAATTAAAGTGAAAAAATGTCTTCAAAGTTCACTTTCAATGGCTTTACTGAAAAGATGCTGTCAGTATCAAATCATTCATTTTATGTTACAACTCGCGTTGGTCTCTGGCCTAGCTAACAACATGTTTTTCAGCTGAGTTTCTCAAAGACAACATTGTTTTTTCGAATGCCAGCGGCATCTATGGGTGAAAATATCTGGTGCTACAACTGAAAGAAAATAATCCTTGTTCTGGTTTTAAATAACAAAAATACAGCTATTATATAACATTAACTTATTGTAGTCTTGTAATGAATTCAATCTGAATATATTTATTTATCAATCTGTAATCTTAACTATGTAATACCAAATGAATTAACCATTTTTTAACCTTTTTAAACTACATATTCAACAAGGAAAATTGTCATGCACTCGGCACTAATGTGAGTCAGTAAAGTCACATTTTCTTTGTGTTTTTGTCATTTTTACACATATTTTACCAAAACAAATGACAGTGTATGCCTCTCTTTAATGTTGGCAGGTACTAGATTAGTCAAAAATAGGGACACCTGGGACATTTCTTGTATAAAACTGGGACAAATCAGTGTTTTTGGATAAATCTGCTGCTCAAAACAGGCTCAAAACTGGGCCTGTTATGGTTAAATAGGGACGTCTGGTCACCCTAATTTTAAGATAACAGCAGAGGCGGCTAGAGTCCATGCTAGCGTAATTGTAAAAATCACCTGTTGTGCTTTTATTATTATTATTATTATTATTATTTATTTATTTATTTATTTATTTTTTACATTCAACACAAACCCTCAAAACAAATACAAAAATTAACAGTAAAATAAAATATGTTTGTCAAAAGGTACAAAGTGGGTTTCCGCTACAAAATGGACAATGACAGTGACATTAGCATTAATCAGTTGTGGCTAGTATGATCTACTCTGGCTTTAGTATCTTCTGTTTAGCCATACTGTCATGTTAGCATTAGTGCATTATTGTCCGCGTGTCACATCTGAGTTAGGGTTTGAGTTCAGGCCTATAGGGGGCGCAGTGGTTAAAGCCAGGCACCATGATAAGATCACAAGGAAGTAGTGTTTAAACATGTACTTTTGCCCCATAAGTAGAAAAGATAATTAAATAATTTGTGGGAGTGGTAGGAGGCAAAGATCATCATATTTTGTAAAATAAATACATACATAAATAGTATAATAATAATAATAATAATAATAATAATACATGTCTTCATATTATTCTCTTCTCTGTTTTAAGTTATTTGTTTTTGTTTGACCAAATAATAAACCCTAAATGTTAACATGTAATACATATTTCTCTGTGACGTGAGCAGTCAATCACATAACAATGTTTCCTGGTAGCTGTCACCATCAGCCTGACTCCTTGTCTCCTTGCTGTGCCTAATAAAGTGCTTTTTTCAGATTATTTTCAAACAAATAACTATAGAAATATACAGAAAATTACCCTGCAACGGAAAAGCTAAATGTAACAGTGTCCGTTACTTTGTGCTATATCCAGGTATGTAAAACGTGTTGATTTCCATATTAGTAGCCTACTCCAGAATACTTTGTCCTTTGCCATGTGATCTCATCATGGTGCACCTGACTCTGCACCGGTGTTATCCAGAGCAGAGGAGACAGTGAGGATCAGAGGAGCTGCGTGGGGAGGCAACCAAGGAGGAGTGCCACAAAGCCAAGCACAAACAGCTCTGTAAAGCGCTGTACTTACGAGTTTGTGATTTCGCATCATATTATCAAACTCCTCATTTATTTTTTTATACTTTTCTTCGGTGTGTGGAGTGAGCACATAGGACGCGTCGGGGTCCGGGCTATCGCACCCTCTTTGTTCCTTCTTGTTTAGCGCCTGCATAGAACAGCCACATAAAGACACAACATGAAACATTTCTGTTGCCAGGAGATACTTACAGCGCAGCGCTTGTACAGTAAGTCAGAGTCGAAGTGGTCCTCCACGAAAGTGTCCTCTGCCTCAGGGCTAGCACACTCATTATGGCCTTTGTTTCGCAATTTCTGAAAGGAGAGCGGACAGGGTGGGTCAAACAGTGAACATGTGGAGTGGACAGGCCGGGTCAAATATAGTGGAGATGTAGTGTGGACACGATGGGTCAAATAGTGGACATGTGGAGTAGATGAGTCAAATATAGAGGACATGTGGAGAGAAGGGGCCAAAGATAATAGACATGTGGAAAGAATGGGTCAAATGTAGTGGAGATGTGGACAGGAATGGTAAATGTAGTGAACATCTGGTGTGGACATCTGGTGTGGTGAAATAGTGGATAGTGGACATATGAAGAAGACGGGTCAAAGAATAGATAGGATGGGTCAGGTATAGTGGAAATGTGGAAAAGATGGGATGGGTCAAATAGTGAACATGTGAAGTGGACAGGGTGGGTCAAATAGTGAACATGTGAAGTGGACAGGGTGGGTCAAATAGTGAACATGTGAAGTGGGCACAGTGGGTCAAATAGTGAACATGTGAAGTGGACAGAGTGGGTCAAATAGTGAACATGTGAAGTGGACAGGGTGGGTCAAATAGTGAACATGTGAAGTGGGCACAGTGGGTCAAATAGTGAACATGTGAAGTGGGCACAGCCGGTCAAATAGTGAACATGTGAAGTGGACAGGGTGGGTCAAATAGTGAAAGTGTGAAGTGGACAGATTGAAGGTAAATAAGTTAAAACGCTACAATAAAATACCTTAAAATAAAATTTTAAAATAAATAAAATTACCAACAACTGGTGTACTACATTTTTGTTGTACTGAGAATAGTGTGATGTGTATTTAATGACACAGTAAGTACTTTTACAGTATGTGGTTATTAAGGCGGCTTTAAATGGAGAGAGTTTGGAGTGTCACTTCATATCCTTCCCTCTTAAGTGTTCTTAGAAACCTACCTCCTCCTCCTCTTGTTTCCACTCTCTCTCTCTTTTCTTTCTTGCTTTCTTTTTCTATCTCTCTTTCTTTCCACTATACATCCAGTTCACTTTTTCATCTCTTCATTTTTGTCTCTCTAGCTCCTTTACGTTCTTTTTTCACTCTCGTCCCTCTCTGTCCCTGTTCTTTATCTGTTTTCTCCTTTCCTTTTTTTTCTCTCTCTACGCCCTCCATGTTCTCCCTGCCTCATCATTCTCTCTATATCTCCCCTTTGCTCTCGTTCTCTCTCTCTCTCTTATCTTTCTGTTTCCCTACTCCCTCTGTTTCCTCTCTTCTCCCCTCTATCTCTTTCTTTGTAAATTTCCACTCTGTCTCTCTCTTTTCTCTTTTCTCTCTCTCCTTCTGCCTCTCAAAGCCCTCCCTCTTTCATTTGAGTCTTCCTTTTCTCTTGGCTCATTCATGAACATAAAAAAAAGTATGTAACAGAAAGAACTCCATCATCTCTCCCTTCCTATCTATGCTCTTTCTTTCTTTTTCTTTCCCTCTCTCTGTCTGTTTCTCCCTCCTCTTGCTCTTCTCTCTCACTCCACCTCCTTTCTCCTTCCCTCTCTTTCTTTCTCTTTCTCTCTCGCTCACTATCTCTCCCTTGCTGTTTCTATCTCCCCTCTTTCTGTTTCTCTCCCTTCTCTCTCTCTCTCTGTCTTCCCCCTCTGTCTCTCCCTCTCTCTCTCTCTCTCTCTCTCCCTCCTCCGACCCTCAAAGCGCTCCCTCACTTCATTTCATCGGAGTCTTCCCTTTCTCCTGGCTCATTCACGGACATAAAAACAGTATAAGGACATCACAGAGCAGAGTCCTTTCAGCCACGAGCATCATTCTTAGCAAAGAGAATAAAACGTATTCTCAATGTGCTCCAATTATCAGTCTGCTTATTTAGCCTTCACATGAGCAGAGGGGTTTGAAGAGCTGCCATAGACCTGTTTGGAAATTTTAGATGTACATTTGAAAAGCAGAAAAACTGAAAAAGAAAAATTGTAAAACATGAGCATTCTGTTGTTTAAAACTCCTATATTATGTAAAATTGACTATTGTGAGATTTAAGCCACATTAGAATGTTGTTACCTCATTTAGAACATACTCGGAGTTGTGTTTTGTCCTTTATTATTTGTCTGTTTATAAGTCCAAAGCTCAAAATGCTCTGTTCCACCTTGTGATGTCATGAAGAGGCAGTTAACAGCTTCTTTTAACAGTTTCCAAAGTGTTGCACAGACAAATTAATACAATAAAAGACAGTAAATCATATTTAAAAACAATAAATAAAAAGTGTTAAAATTCATAAAGCTAAAAATGATAAAACAATGAAAAAATAAAAGACACAGAGGACCACACGACTTGTCAATGGCCATAGTTATCCTGCCACTAAAAACAGTCTTACCCACTCCACAAAACACCCGAAGCAAATCTATTATTAAGCCAGACTGTCGATGTAAATGTCTGTGTTGATAGAATAATGTTTGAAATAAAACAGACCTTGCATCGCGTGAATCGTTGCATGTTGAGGGACTATTTTCTCATATATCAGTCCGCCGCTGCCAAGCTTTTTATCAGGAAGTACAACTCGCTGCTGCTGCTCAGACATAAATCCTTCAAATGCAAGGTTGGTTTTACTTCTAAAATTATTCTATCAACACAGACATTTACAGCGACAGTCTGGCGTTATAACTGTTTTGCTTTGGGTGCTTTGTGGAATGGGTAAGACTGTTTTTAGTGGCAGGCTAACTATGGCCATTGACATGCACTAGCCTAGCACCAGCGACCTCTGCAAATACAAAGACTGGATGGAATATTTTTTTAAAAAGTGTCTCCACACGTCTCCAACACTCTGGCTCACTAGGAAATTAGGTCCTATGTCCAAAATTCCAAACTGTTTCTTTAAACAGCTCTAACTTACAGGCGACTTTATAGCTCAAAAATACCTAGATAACCAGGCATTCTGACTGTGAGCGGGGTCACTTCTCCACAGACCCATCCTGTAACTTTGCCTGATTTGGTCCTCAAGAAGATAGAAAGCTTTAATACCGTACATACCAACATTCCAGACAAAGCAACCACATCTCCATGAAGAAAAGCATTTGCACTCAATGCACCTTTAACTAGAACGATCTTGACTGTGTCTGAGTAAATAATATACTTCATATTTCAGTATAATAAAACAAAAAAAAGTCAAAACAAAGACTTAACAGAGACAAAACCAGGACTAATCCAAGGCTCCCGCTCTCTCCTGTTCTTAGCTTAGGTTTGGTGGATCTGCTCCTCATTACTGTACTCTAACAAGACTCGTGTAAAGTGTGACAGCTCTCCGGCTCTCCACGCGTCTGTTTGATTTATGTACCTGTCCTACCCTGCGCAGGTCTGACCCGGAGTCTGAGGAGCACCCGGAGGTCAAGATCCCGCCGTGTACGCAGGGGTCAAAGGTCAGAGAGCAGCCACTCTAATGAGACCGAAGGCAGGGCTGTCTCTCACCCGTCAGGCGGACAAATGCGTGGGGGGCGTGGGGGGGTGGAGGAGAGGTTAACGCAGCTGCTACTTCCTCTCGTTCACTGTAAAATAATGTTTGTGAAGGTGGAGGTGGAATACGGATATTGATCTCAGTAGTTTTGACTGGTTTAAGATTACTTCAAATAGCAAAAAATGTCTCATGTACTTTTACTTAAGTACATTTGAGAGAAGATAGCTGTACTAGTCCACTACGCTTTTGAACTGAACTGAAAAGTAGAAGTATTTTATAATAATCTGAAAAGGTCGAGGGGTTTATTTTTAACACATTTGTCTGAGCAAAGAAAAATATACAAATAATAAAAACACCTAGAAAAAAATGACTAAGTTGTTTCTGTGGAACAAATTTCAGCACAAATCTTAATCAAAATCGCTACATTTGAAGCCTTATAAGACCTCAAAATCTGCACAAAATACTTTTATTTTTTACTGTTTAGGTACATTTTTAAAGGTGCACTGTGTAACTTTTCTGTGGAGGGTTCGCCACCTGGTTGTCTCCATGGACATGTTATCATTTTGTCTAGAATGTCCCAGTATGGCATTAAAAATATCCATCTTGCATTTACTCAATAACATGGGTTGTTATTGGCCAACAGTAACTTGCATTCTTACTATGAGTGGCTTGCCTCTCCACAGATCTGACGTGCAACTTGGCCCTGTGGTGCCACCTGCTGTTGCGCAGAGTTAAATAAGTGTAATGCCATACTGTAGAACATTCCAGGCAATATCTCCATGGAGAAATACAGATGACTGACCTTCTGCCAAATCTTTTTTTTTTTTACTTTAACTTTTTTGTGAGTGTTTTTTTCTCCTGTAATTGTACTTTTACTTAAGTAAGAATGAGTACTTCTTCCACCACTGCTGACCAAGTCCACATAGTTTTACAGCTACACTAGAATTTCTTAAAGGTCCTATATTACACAAAATTGACTCTTGTCTCTTGTGAGCTTAAACCATGATAGAATGTTGCTACAAAACACAACTCCAGGTATGTCTTTGATGAGGAAATAACATTATAAAATCAGAAAATAGCACAACATGGCCCCTTTAATACTTAACTAAAGTTTATCATGTCAAGTTTTGTTTCAGATTCTTAACTAAACTTAAGGACTAAACCATTAAGCACATGGGAAGGGGGAATTATAGTTAAACTCCATAGACCTTCATCAAACTCACTCAGACTTTTAATTTTTATTTTTTTCTTTGTCATTTCAAATCTATTTGTTTATATAGTGCAGAGACGCTCGTGTGGCTAACCCAAAATACTAACCACAACCTCACTCTTCCTCCTGCTCAACTCTCTACGGCAGTAGACTGATTGTGGGGGACACACCTACACTACTCACTATTCAAATACTACAGACTGAATATACAACTACTCATTATTCAAATACTACAGACTGAATATACAACTACTCACTATTCAAATACTACAGACTGAATATACTACTCACTACTCAAACACTATAGACTGAATACAGAACAACTGATGGATAAAGTATGATCCACGCGATGGGGGTCCTTCACACTGTAAGCATGCTATGTAAAACTAACAGATCTGTTAGTTCTTTAACATTTGCTAG